TGAAGGCGAAGCACTGCTACTTGGGCGGAGTGATAACCGCAGCACCTGAGACGCGCCGTGGTGAGGAGCAGAGAGTTCGTTCAGAGTTTGGGTACGGTACGTCTCAGGTGCTGCGGTTATCACTCCGCCCAAGTAGCAGTGCTTCGCCTTCAGAGAATATAGTTCCCAGTATTTATACGGTTAAAATATGTCTGTGTCTCATGTGACTTTGTTTTTTGTACACTCTGTGACTATACAAATCACAACATGTAAATAGGAAAATGTTTGCGTTATTTTGTCACTTATTTGGATTAGTATGCTAGCTGCAACCATTTACATCCAGTCTTTGTGCTAAGCTAGGCTAGCGGTGGGTGCGTCAAACAGACTTATAGCACGCACGGAGATGAAAAAGGTATGTATGAACTTATCTAACTCTGGGGGATAAGGTGAATAGGCTAAAGTCCCAAAAAGTCGGAGTGTTCCTTTAATCGCGCATTCAAACTGACTCTCCCCTGCCTGTTTGCGTTGTCGTATGAGCGCAAATATTTCTCCTAGCCAATCAGCGAAGATCAGGCTACGTCACTGATAGTCACACCATGGCATCTGACCAATCAGAAGTTGCGCGGAGCATTTCAAACTTCAGTGTCGTTCCGGTTATTGGAAAGTGAGGTTATGCGCTACTACCTACTCCCACATCAGCGCTAATAACTTCAAAACAAAAAATGGTAAGTTGATGAAACTCACACATTCTATGGTTGAATAGTTGTGCAACATGTTGAGATAGGTGTTGTTTGCATAGATTTCTTGAAAGTAGTGACATTTGTGGCATGAAAAATGGTGAGACCATATTTGATCAAACGCCCTGTTCACGTAAGATTAGCGCAAGTGATAGGAAGACCATATTTAGACATACGCCCTATGCGTATAGAAAAGCTGTACTAGGGTATTTTTTCTACAAATAATGCATTATAACCACAGTCTATGATTATAATGTAGGACAATAGTATTTACTAGTGCATTGGATGTTATCACAGGTTTGAATAACATTATAAAGTGATCCAGTGGGAAACGAAACACATTTATAGACATTTTCAAGCCATATTAGATATTGAAATATGTGTGGTTTTGGTCAGTTTTTATGACCTTTATAACAATTTTTAATACTTATAATGATATTTTGCACTTCTTATTATATATTTACATATATTATGACAGACCAGTCCAATGTTACTCACTTATTTTTCTTCTTATTTATATTTCAGTAGATCTGCACTTCACTGTTACTCAACAAATAACTCAAACTGGGCTTGATATTGACTCAAAAATGTACTCTCTGTTCTTTGCAGCTATCTACGCAAATCTTTTACGGCAAGAGGGAGACAGTTGTGCCAGCCCACCCCAGCATCAGTGATGATGAGGGCTGTGAGGAGGAAGATGATGATGTGGCAGACCCTGACTTCCTCCCACCCACCCACAACCTAGACACTCCAGGCCAGAGTGATATAGGCCCCTCTGCCAAGAGGTGTAATTTAATTTAAAATGTACCTAATAATAATTTAAAATGTTCCTAAATAAATATTTTTATGTTTGTAACAAGTTTATGTGTTTTTATTATATTTTTATATATATACTTTTTAAGGGAAAAAAAATTACCCTAGACTGACGAGGAACCATATATGGTAACTTCATTGCCCTTGATTTCCAACCTAAAAAAATATATTTTTTTTAAAACTCACAAATGTTTAGAAGTCTTATAATATCCTCCAATAACACTCTATGGTTGAAATTTAGAATTTCCAAGTATTTCAATGAGTGCCCTATAAAGGGTTAAGTGAAATAAGTATTTGATCCCAAGCAAAACATGCCTTAGTACTTGATGGAGAACCCTTTGTTGGCAAACACAGAGGTAAGATGTTTCTTGTAGTTGGTCACCAGGTTTGCACACATCTCAGGAGGGATTTTGGTCCACTCTTCTTTACAGATACTCTCAAAATCCCTAAGGTTTCTTGGCTGTCGCTTGGCAACTCAAAGTTTCAGCTCCCTCCACAGATTTTATATAGGATTAAGGTCTGGAGACTGGCTCCAAGACCTTAATATGCTTCTTCTTGAGCCACTCCTTTGTTGCCTGGATGGTGTGTTTTGCCCTGTACCCTTACCAGAGAAACAGCCCAAAAGCATGATGTTTCCACCTCCATGCTTGACTGCTGGGATGGTGTTCTTGGGGTCATAGTTAGCATTTCTCTCCCTCCAAACACGGCGAGTTGAGTTGATGCCAAAGAGCTCAATTTTGGTCTCATCTCACCACAGCACTTTCTCCCAAGCCTTCTCTGCGTTATTGGATATTTATTGGCAAGCTTCAGATGGGCTTGAACATGTGCCTTCTTGAGGAGGGGTACCTTGGGGGTGCTGCTGGATTTCAATCCATTGTGGCGTAGTGTGTTACCAATGGTTTGCTTGTAATTGGTAATTGCTTTGTAATGATCTAAGCTAATCATATGACTATTAGTTCTACTGTGTTAAGCACTTTTTGGGTAAGTATGGTCTTTGACCTGAGCATCCTTAGTCTGCATTTCTCTGTACATTTAATGTTGAAAATACCCATTACATAAAATATTTCTATCACAATACACAAACCATAGGTGACTTGCATTAGTTTTTTATTGCAGCCCTAATAATTCCAAACTGTGAGTCCATGTATGATGCAAAATAAATTAATTGTTTGTTTAAAATTATTGTTCACTGAAGCAAGGTGCTGTTTTTTTTTCCTTCATTTTTGGAAACACTTTTAGTTAACTGCGGATTAATTTGCATTACAAATTAAAGTACCATGTCATTGACATTTGCCACACTCAAAACCAATCTGTTATCACCAAGCTCAGTGCTGGGTGTGCCTTATACACATATCTTCCTCTTGTGCAATATGATTTTTTTTTTTTTTTTGCAATGAAGGTCACTGTCAGTGTTACCACAATGATATGACATTTATTCTGATACAAATAGTTCTGATACAGTACACTGAAAATTTGTTTTTGGCAGCATATTTTTGATGCTCAAACTTTGTGGCTTATACAAATAATCTTTAAACAACTCTATGATGGTGGAAATAAACACAAATCCAATGATGACATCACAATTTTGACAAAACCATATCCATATATTAAAGGGATAGTTCACATTATGTCATCATTTACTTACCCGCAAGTTGTTCCAAACCTGTATGAATTTCTTTCTTGAACACAAAAGAAGATATTTTGAAGAATATTATAAAAGAAATTCATACAGGTTTGGAACAACTTCAGGGTGAGTAAATTATGACAGATTTTTAATTTTTGGACAAACTATTCCTTTAAAGCCAGCTAAACAACATATTTAATATAGCAGAATAAAACTGGATGTACGTGATCAAGACATGTAAGATGTTGTGACAGTGCAGATGACAAATGGCAAAATACATTTGTGTCATTTGGCCCCAAAAAACTCTTTGGTCATATAAGGAGTTAGTCAGAACTACATTAGCGAAGTCAGTCAACCGAGGCTTTCTTCCGGCATGAGAGGTAAAATAACCCAGTAAAAATGAAAATTGGCCAATAAGGACCAGTGTGTTTTCCATATATAAAGCACACAAGCTCACTGTGAGAGTACTTTCACACACAGTAATGGGGTGGATAGATAATCTCCTGATTTGTTCTTTCTTTGTGTCAATTTACCTGCTGACACAGGCTAAATGTGGTAAGCATGTCTCCTTTCTATACGAGAGAAAGAAATAATTGTAAGACACAGCGTGCATTGATATTTTGATTATGATTTAGGTCCTGTGAATGCAGCCTCATCTATGAGTGATGAAAAAGACACTTCGTTTGTGGTAAGTTTCAAGTGCAACTGGTTAAACAGGCATGCTTTTTTCAGATATGACTTCTTGTAATGTCATATGACTTCAGTTTACAAGTATACTGAAGTATATGAATCAGTATACAATCACACTGTTTAAATGTTTGGTGTCGATAAATTTTAAAATATTTTTGAAAGAAATCTCTTGTGCATAAAGGCTGCTTTTTTTTGTTGTTGATAAAAAAACAGTAATAATGTGAAATATTATGACATTTTAAAATAACATTTCAAATGTATTTATTTATGTTATTTTAAAAATGTAATTTATTCCTGTGATGGCAAAGCTGAATTTTCAGCATCTGTTCATTTTTCAGTGTCACACGATCCTTCAGAAATCATTCTAATATGCTGATTTGGTGCTCAAGAAACATTTCTTATTATTATCAATGTTTTGCACATTGTGCTGCTTAATATTTGTGTAGGTACCGTGATACACTCTTTGATGAATATATATATATATATTTTTTACATGAAATCTTTTGCAACATTATAAATGTATTTACTGTCACTTTTGATCAATTTAATGCATCCTGGCTAAATAAAAGTATTAATTTATTTCTACAAAAAATACTGAACACAAACTTTTATGCCAAGTCAAGTCACCTTAATTTATATAACGCTTTAGATAATATAGAGTGTTTCAAAGTGGTTTCAGTAATAAACAAGAAAAGAACATAATCAATTATGCAAACTTAATCAAATATGAGACAAATTCAAATTCTGCTGTAAAGCAGCTCTGCAAAGACAATAGTGCCGTTATTCAGCTCAAGTCAGTTCAGTGTGGATTCAGTGGTATAAGAAGTTTCAGTGGTATGTATAAGAAGTTTAACTGGTAATGTAAATGAGAAGTTTCTAACACAAAAATGCAGCTTGAGAATTATATCATTGGTAAATTGTATATATATTGTAATGTCTTTCACAGTGTAAAAACTAAACACGGTCACTCGTTTTAGTCTAAAGTAAAATTTTCCACACATTTAGGCACGCAGGGATTTCACAAGAGAAAGACGAGCCGTAGAGGTGAGGCTGTTTTTAATCTTTGTTTTTTGCATATTAATTTTATAGGCATGTACTTTTAAATGTATGTTGTTAAAAAACCTTTAAATACCTTTTTTTTTATTATCTTTCTGTAAACTACTAAGGATTGTTCAGGTATGTGAACTATATTTTATTCAAAACCATTTTATTCAGATATTAAACCAATTTGGAGATTAGATTAGTTTTCACCCCAGGCCAGTTCTACCAGCTTGGAGTTTCCATCCCAGTAAAACATTGTACAACATGACTAGAAAGTGTCAGTCTTACCTGTACTTATTTAGGCCTTCAGAAAGATCTTGACGAGATGAAGATTAAATGTAAGGATTCTTACAAAGTAGCGAAGGATAATATTGATGGTGAGTCAACCATCTTCATCTACTCAAACTTAAAAGTATCAACCATGCAGTTCCATCTTGCACTCATATTCATCACAATGTTTATATTGGTGGACATGTTTTCAGGTCTTAAAAGCCAACTGGATGATCTTTTTAAACAAGTCAGTGCCACCAAGAGTCCAGCCAAGGATGGTATGTAGAAAATCATACATATGAACATAGCTGCTTTAAAATAATGAAATAAATTTTTTTTGTAACATATTGTGAAAAGACAATAGATTGACACTTATTACCCTTGTTTTCCAACCATTCAGTCTTAAACATTCTCCAGAAAGTCATCGACCTACAGGAGATGGATGCGATAACGAACACTGAGAGAGATGGCGCAAGGATTGAAAGTGCGTTCCAACAATATTACAATATTTTATTATTAACTTGAAAACCTGTAAATGTCCTGTGTATAGTCATGCAGGTATTTTAAAAATCAACAGGACTGGAGAAGCGTCGAAAGGAAGCAGAGAGAGACTTGTCAGAGATGAAGAAAGAATTTTCGGGAAGTGTTGAAATTTTCAAGCGTGCAGGTACAGATACACATGTGCATGGAGCAATACCACACTGAACCACTGCACTTTTGACCCTTGCTCAATTCTTAACCACCAGGACTAGAAGTAATTGTTTTTGTTTTTTCCTCTAGTTTCACAGATAAGCTCAGAGACATTGAAAAGTGATAAGGCAACATCAACCCCTCTTAATGGTGTGTATGATGAAAATATGTATGAACAAATACTTTACAGTTAGTTTTGTACATTCTTATGCATGTAATCCACAGAATTAAAGAAATACCTGGAAGACAAGCTCAAACAACCAGGGGAACAAGGTGGCATTGCAAAGCAAGGTGAGTGTAACGAGGATGAGAACAGTGGAGCCTTTCGATCAGAAATACTTTTATCAATGATTGTGGATAAAGTTCTGAAAGATTTAGAAAACGTGCAGTTTGAGTCTTTTCCTCAATAGATGACTGACTCAGTACAGTTTTTTTTTTTTTTTTTTTAGTACTGCAGATTGTTACATTGCAAATAGAAGCAATAGAACTAAAGACACGTCTCTCTGGTAAATATAAGAGGCAAGTGCAGATGGATGGTGAGTGTTCATTCTTTGATGTTTACTAAATCCATATCAGGCTAGGAATTGTGAAGTTGCAGTTGTGAGATGATCTGAATGGATAATTTTATATGTGCACAATCATTTCATCTCATTTAATGTTTGCCAGGAATTATAAGCAAACTGGAGCGCAAAAGTGGCCTTCTGTCAGATTTGAAAGAGGAGCGAGAAGAGAGGAGAGAAAATATACAAAAAATTGGTATGTTATTATTCAGTGTTTGTTTTCTTTTTTTGTAGCTCCACAATAAATGTATAGCATCTATAATCCATGTTATGTGACAAATAAGAGGTAACTTGTGACATCTGCAGCATTTCCTTCCCATTTTCTGTTATGGATTCACAGATAAACTCATTGCAACACTGGAGAAAGAAATATTGGACCTGAATGCTGAATTATCAGCACTTAAACAAACACTTGCTCAACTTCTTGGTACTGGAATCAAACTAGTATTGATTTATGTATTATTTTGAATTTAGATATGTGAATCAATACTTCATCCTGCCAATGACTTGTATCTTGTAGGACAGACAAATACATTTGATGGGAAAAGAACTGAAGTAATTGATCAAATTGCCAAATTGAAGGGAAAAGATGAGTTAAGTAAGTTTCTTTCATTTTAACATACCTGATTCTCATTTTTCATGAATTATTCTATTTTACTAGGGGGGGGGGGGGGACAATATATTGTGTCTCAATATATCTCAATACAAAAATGCAACAATGTGTATCGTGGATAGTGACAATCTGTATTGTGTATAGTTAACCCAAAATAAAAATTACTGTGTTGGTCCTGATAATGCCAAATGTCTTATGTTACTAGTAAAATAATTCTGATGAATATTTGAATATTTTTATTCTGGTGTCACCATTGTCCTGTGCATTGGGTAACCAGCATCAAGTTCAAGCCTATTCATTTCCACCCCCAATGTAATACCAAATTTAGCATTTTAATTAACAGTACATTTGTTAACTTTTTACGTCTTGGTGTATCAAATTGTGACATGAGGGTATCTTGACACCCCTAAGTTTTACTGTTGCATCATCAGTAATATTATACTTTGTTTGTGCTATTTTTAGTTTCTAGAATTCTTACACTCCAGTTTGAATTTATGGAGGCGCTAATCACTGCACAGGGACAAAAGCAAGCAGACGAATTTAAGATAGCTGGTGAGATCTGAATGTTTTTTAATTATTATTATTTAAAATATATATATATATATATATTCTTTTGATTGATTGATTGATTGATTGATTGATTGATTGATTGAGCGATTGATTGATTGACAGGCTTTAAAAAGAAGCTTTAATAGAATTGTGATGTTTGTGTGTGATTTTGGGTTATGCCTTCTCAGATCTACAGAAAGAGCTTAAAAAGGAACAGGACAGGGCACTTTATCTGCATTCTGACAACAAACGTAAGATTGATGTATCGTCTTAATTACTTGCCAACTAGGGATGCTTTTAAATCAATCATTTATATCCCAATGATGAAAACAACTTTTTCTATAAATGTTAACATTAATTTAAATGTACATTTCTTCATTTAGCAGATGCTTTTGTCCAATGTGTCTTACAAATAGATTGTTGAGTGATCTGTAGTCTTTTCTACACCCAGGTTTACACAGAAAGCTGATTGACCAGACAGAACAATGCGAAGACCTGATGAATATGTATATGGGTAAGACATTTTACTCTCCTTTCCTCCCAGCAAGTGACAATATGAAAGCTTTGTTGACATGAAAGCAACAAAATACATTTGAAATGCAGATTCAGTTAAAAACATAAAGGTCCATCTCACGATTATTGTGTTGTGATTATTATCTATTTATGTATGAATCGTCTTATCCAGATACAGAAACTGAACTGGATGCTCAAGTAAATAAAATAACAGATTCAACCTCAAAGACAGGCAAGTTGAGTGAAATTTTAGAGACACATGAAAATATATATATATATATATATTTTACACCCATTATTTTCCGTTGAAATTAATATACAGTACAGTTAATTTAATATACATGGCAACATTTCATTTCCACAGCCATCCAGATTATTTTGCTGAGCTTTGAAATAGACCAATTAACGAAACAAATTAAAGCATCTTCATCTAATGATGGTATGTCTCTTTGAACCTTTTTTGTACTTGTGATTCTGTCAATTTGAAAAGCAATCCGCATAAAAAAATCATTCTGCTAATTGTACTATTTTTAGTAATTTTAGTGTGTAATAAAATAATCTTTATTCTATTTGTGTACATACAATAGATTTGAAGCGAATACGGGATGAAAAACTCAAAGAACTGAAGGCGAAAAAGGAGGAACTTCAGAAAAGTGACGCTAGCTTTGAGAAAAGTGAGACTGGTTCTTTTTGCATTAATATCTGCCATAAAGTTTTGTCTACTGATTGACTTTGCTTGTCAGTTCTTAAGGTGATATCGCAGATGGAGGAAATCTGGAAGCTACAGAACAAAGATCCAGATAACTTGAATCAAATCAGCAGTGAGTGTATACAGTACACATGCAGTAATTATATACTAATGGGAAAAATGAACAGTAAAATTTCAACTCATGTTCTATTCTGGTTTCAGATCTGCAGAAGGATCTCTTGAAATTGATTACAGAATTAGATGATAAAATGTCTGCAAAACCAAGTGAGTGGAGAATTATGGTTCTTGTTTGGACGTAAGGCTCATATTTGCAGTTATGTTTACACTCATATTTGGCCAGTTTCACAAACAAAGCTTAAGTCTATAGTCCCAGACTAAAATACATGTTCGAGCTGGTTTAACTGAAAGCAACTTGCTCTGACATATCTTAAAATATGTCAGTGCCATTGTTTTGTCTCAAGATGCACACCAGTTATGTTTTTTCTAGGCACTTTTATAAAAGGTTCTTAAATGTCCTAATTGAACTAAGGCCTAATCTAAGCCTCGTCTGTGAAACCAGGCCATAGATAGTTAAATAATAACACTTTCTGAAACTTTAAGGCCAGTTCACAGCAAGGATGATTACTATAAGGATAAAGATGTTAAACAATAGCTGAGTCCACACCACAACTAAAATAATAATGGCACAAAGAAATTATATTGTTCGAATCACTTTCACAAGATTTTTTTTCCAACTGATGAACAATAAAAACATTGACCAATTAGAATCCATCCTGCTTTAAAGAGCTCAAGCATTTAAAGCAGCAGACAACATAACTGCAGCGCGTACTTATATTAAACAAAACATTATCATGAGTTCGTTGTGGATGCTATCTTTATAGGTGTGATCATTCGTGGTGTGAATGGGCCTTTGTGAGTATTACATTAGCTTAAATCAGTTCATCTAAGTTGAATTGTACCAAATTCATAATTTGTTCATATATTTTTGGCAGAACAATTAATAATACTTTTTTATTTTATGTTTGTCTCAGTGCTGAAAATCATGGCTCTCCAGTCTGATGTAACCTGGATAAGGGAAATGCTGAAAACAGTGACTACACAGGCTGAGATGAAGAAAATTGGTTGGCACTGATACTTTAAAGAACTTTTAAAAATGTTGATATTTCTTAAAGGGATCATGACATGAGGAATCAAATTTGCCTTTACCTTGACATATAAGAAGTTTTTGTACCATTAACTCTTTCCCCGCCCGTGTTTTTTTAATTTTTTTATATCATTTTCACAAAATTTTCATTCCCCCCAGAATATTTGGCTGTATGAATATCTGAACATACAATATATTCAAAAGAAAGAACGGAGCCTTTTAAACAAACACAAACACACACAAAACGTTTTATTCTAGCTTCATGCATTATTTATTTCTTATCAACACTTAAATGTGGGTAAGTTTCATTAAAAAAGCAACATTTTGAGCAAAAATCTGAGAAATAATTTTTGTCTAAAGACAACATCGAGATGGGATTCAGAACGATGATCAAAACATAGATGGAGTAGGCTAGATAGAGTCCATCACTTCCAAAGCTTCACAGTCCTATAGCTCGTCCTGGGTCGACATTTCAGTCGACGATTTATATGCTGTTTAATGTTGGTTATCGTGTTAGTTTACATAAGCATCTGCTTACATATGATATCACTTGTTTCTTCTTCTTTTTTCCTGTGTTTTGATGTGGAGATTCTGTACTCTTTCAGAAGATGTCATAGCGCCCCCACCGTATAACAGTGAAAACACGGAAAGACGGAAAATTCTGTCAATGGCGGGGAAGCGTTGTCTCATAAATGAGGATTAAAACATCCTCCTCATTATAAACAAAGCATTTGTTTAATCAAGCTCCAAAAGCTCTGTCTTATTTTGATATTGCAGGATCTGTGACGTCACGCAGGCAAATACATTTGCATACGACTGCATCCAGAGCAAGACATCGACGAATAGTCATACATCGTCACACCATAGGCCCCGCCCACTGGTGTTCAGCCGCTTAACGGCAAAAGCAAATAGAATTCATTATTATAATCACTGATGCTGTATACACTGGATACAGTATACAGATTTGCGATTAGTTTCTGACATATATTACGCGCTAGTCTGTCGACAACAGGACAAACGGAAGAGTGAAGAACTTATTTTAATGGGGTCCCGGATCGCATCAGAGGATTATGTTTGTTCGGAGCATTTTGTTTTGTAAACAAGGCACAGTGTAATGGAGAGTTCACAAAGAAACTTATTGAAAAATGAAGCTCCCAACTGTATCAAATCTGACAGCAGCTGCATCACAAACCACAAGTAAATTATTACATAATGCTTTGTCTGTAAATCACGGTTTTATATGGATAATGTTTTCAAAACACTTACCCGTGTGCAATAGGGAGTGGGTATTGATACTGTTTCCTATGCAATGACTTTAGCCAATCATAACAGTGGCCGTTTACTGACAAGTCTTAAAGGAGCCGCCCCTTAAAAACGGATCATTTCAGACAGAGGGTCAGAATGAGGGTTAAAAATAATTGTTTTCCGCATACAGTATATATTGGTTGTTGTTGTTTTTTGTGTAAAAAAAACCTTTATTAACATTATAAGTGAACCTCAAGGAACTTATTAAAAAAATAATTTAAAAAATCCATTTCATGACCCCTTTAATATTCTTTTTACATGAGCAGATTGTAACTGCTCAGGTTGGATTATTGCTACTTACACTGACTTCTGACAGAGCTCCAAAAAGCACTGGATGACGTGGAACGTATGCTGAAGGAAAAAAACAAAGAGCTGGCTGCTGCGACCGGTGACATCAGTCAGTTACGTGAGTGAAACCTTTCATTTTGAAATTTGAAACAGTAACTAAATGCAAATCTATAGCGACCATTAAAATGCTTGATTTGCAGAGAGAGACATTGTTCTTCTGAAGAAAGAAGTTTCGATGCTGAAAATGGAAAAGGACACAGTTGAACAGACTGCAAAGCAGAGGATTAAAGGTTTCAGTTTCACCCTGTACAGTAGTCAACATTTGAAGTGGATCAAAACCTTTCATCAAAGTTATACATGAATTTTTAACAATACCCATTCTTGTTTTAGGATTAACCTTTTTGATCCACTTCAAATGTTGACTACTGTATTTAATTTCAGTCACATTAATTCAACAACAATCCATGAATTGATTTTCAATATTATTCTTTCTTTGATTAAAACTTATTACTTAATCTGTCACAGATCTTGAAGAAAAACTAAAAGAGAGTAACAAAGCATTGGATGATGCAAATAAAACTCTGAAAGAGAAGAATGCTACACTATCACAACAAAGTAAGTGGACAAGCACTGAAGAGATTCAGCCAATCAGAAAATGATCAGGATTGGAAGATAAAACATGCATTTGTTGATTTGTCTGCCAATGTCCGGTCAGAACATCAGATCATTGCTTTATAACGTTTTAACCTCATGTCCCCCCCTAGTTACAAAGATCAACAATCTCATAGACGAAGTGAGAACCTTGAAACAGCAAGAAAAAGAAAAAGAATCGCAAGTAAATGCTAGAATAGCTGGTGAGTTTTATTCAATCCACGCATCCATCAGATACAACCTCCCTCACTTGTTTAACATTAAAGCATATAAAAATTGGGCCTTTCCATTAATTCAAGAACACAACTTGATGTTGTTCTTTTAGAACTTGAAAGGAAACTGATGAAGACGGAGGAAGAAAATGCCAAAATTCGTGACGATAATGAAAGTAAAACCTTCAGCAATAAAATCTTCAACAATATGGGGTATTTAAAGTCATTGTCTAAAGAACAATTCCCCTTCTTCCCGATTCTGTCTCTCTCTAGAGCTGAAAGAAAATTGTGTGGACACCGATTATTGCCCTGAACTCCAGGAGAAATATAAAGGTATGTCTGCTGGAAAGAGAAAAGAGATTGTCCTTTCAGAACTTTTGGAGAGTTGTATAAACAGGATACTTGGTGGCTGTGTGTTACAGAAATGCAGGCTGAATATAACGATACCATTTCTAAACTGAACGATGTACTTCTTCAGAAGGGTGAGTGAAGCCCTAATTTATAATTAAATTAATGCCAAAATTCATCACAAAACATTGTAATTAAAAAAAACATAATATTGTGTAAACCTTATGTACACTCTAAATATGGACAAACCCAAATGTTGGGTTAAAAATGTAATTTCAAATTTTAACCCAACTTCAACTTTCACTTTCAACTGCACATTTTTATTGCATTTTTAACCCAACATTTGGGTTTGTCCATATTTGACCCAAATTTGGGTTGAAACAACCCAGCATTTTTTAGAGTGTAAGTCTACTTCACTCTTATTTTGACACATAATTATCCCTCTCTCCCATGTTGTTGTCGGTTTCAGTTTTTATCATTAAAAATCTAATCGATGAAGTGGAGTATCTGGATAAGAAAGCTGCACAAGGATTAGGTAATGGAGGATGTATTTCTATTGATTCTGATATCACAAACTGCAATACTTTTAAACATGCATATAAAAAGAAGTATCTTCTGCTTACCAAGGCTGCATTTATTTGATAAAAAAAATACAGTAAAAGCAGTACAATTTAAAATAACTGTTTTCTATTTTAATATATTTTAAAATGTAATTTATTCCTGTTGTGGCAAAGCTGAATTTATGTCTTCCATGTTTGTGCTGCTTAATGTTTTTGAGAAAACGGTGATCGTTTTTTGAGGATTCTTTGATGTAAAGAACATTCAAATAACAGCATTTATTTAATATATTGTAACAATGTAAAATTCTTTACTGTCACCTTTGACTGGTGTCCTTGCTAAATAAATCTATGAATGTGTTAATTTCATTTAAAAAAAAAACCTTACTGACCCCAAACTTTTGACTTGTAGTGTACATTTCATACTATTTGACATCAGCAATGCAGATGTAAGACTTTCCATAATTATTCACATGAATGAGCATCATTGAACAAATTATGCACAGACCTAACAGACTATTTTCAATGCACCTTTCCAAGAACTTTACCTTCAGAATACCAAAAACTCATTAATCTATTAATATGATTTTTCACTTTATGTGAATTTAAACGAAAAATTAGTAAGGGGAAAAGGTTTATGTGTTTTTGTTCCATTCACTCCATCTATGGTTATCTGCTTTTCAGGAGGGATGGAAGAACTGGAAGAAAAGAAAAAAGAATTGGAGAAGGCAATGCAGCAATTGAAGGCAGAGGGATCCATATCAGCCAAAAGTGAGTCAAACCCCATTTTTCTGAATTTTGCGCCCTTCTTTATCTAAAAAGAGACCATTTCTACTTACACAATGGTTTGTTACAGCTCTGGATGTACTTCAGTTACTAACTGAGATATGGAAGCTGCAAGAAAATCCAACTGTGGAGAATTCAGAAAAGATTCGGCGTGAGTTGAAACAAATCCATTTCTTCCCTTTAAAAACATCTCATTCATTAGCTCACAATTAGTGATTTTCTTCTCTTAATTTAGAACTGGAAGCTAAATTAAATGGTTTGCTGACTGAGTTGCAAAACTCTGGAGAGAAGGGGCTTGAACTAAGTGAGTTTTAATTTAATTTCCTTTTAAATTGCAATAGAGTAAAAACCTGTGGGTATAATCTTAATCTGTTTAATAATAGCATTGTAGCTCAAAGAGTGGAGCATGGTGCTTGCAATGGCAAGATCATGGGTTCATTTTTTTTTTAGGGAATGCATGAACTGATAAAATGTATACCTTGAATGCAATGTAGGTCGCTCTGGATAAAAGCCTCTGCCAAATGCATAAATGTGAATGTTTTTCTTATAAATTCACAGCCTTGAAGATGATTTCTATAAAGGAATCAATGTCCAGACTAAAACAAGCACAAGGAAAAATGCAAGAGGAATACAAAAGAGAAATCAATGGTAAGCCCATCTTAAATGCATCTAATGCCATTAAATGATCTGAAGAGTGCTGATTTTTCATTTAAAATTAAAGGGGAAACAAAGACTACTACACTTTCTTTTTTATGTTGTTGGTCAGGTCTAAAGAAGCAAATAGAGGACAACGAAAAAGAGATTTTGCTTTTGAAGGCTAACTGTGATCAGTCCACTCAGCTGAGTAAGTTGTGTTAGTTCCTACCATATATGTAATTTGCATTTTAACCCAGTATATTGATAATAAAAACATGTTGCTTTCCAGAGGACAGGATACAACAACTAGAGAAGGCGGCTAAGGAAAGGCAAAAAAATTTGAAAAAACTACAACAAGAATCAAAAGATAAGATTGCAGGTACGTTTTACCCTTGATGTGCTATTAAGTTGTATTATGTATAAGTATAATAATGTTGAGACTCCTAAAGAACAGATCTTCATTAGAGGGAATGCATCCTGTTGGGATACAATCACAAATAACTTGGGAAAAGAACTGTGGGAAAATAATTATGATGCTTAATAAACACAGATTTGTGTTATTAAATATTATCGTTTAATTGTTTTTTCTCAGCGCTAGACAAACAAATTAAAACAAAGGACCAGCAGCTGGCAAACACTGAAGATAAACTCCGGGAGACAAATGCTGAAAATGCTGATTTGGGTAAGAAAAAATATTATTTATGTTTGTATTGTCACCTATGCATGACTAGTCATTCCAAGAAATTCAGTTTTGTGTCTCTTGTTTTAGTCAAAAAGCTGAACAGTCTGAATGATGACAAAAAGAAAATCACAGAGGAGAAAAATAATGCACTACAGAAAGCAAAAGAAGAAATCGGCGGTATGACGACACTATAAAAACACCAAAGACGTGCTTAAATTCATTATCAAGTTAACTTTTCCAATACCATGCAATATATTTTTGTATTCTAAAGTGATTAGATGTGTTGTTCTTGATAAATATATTTGGGTGTAAGCAATGGTCACTCTAGAGAGAAATAGTTTTCTGTACAGTGAATGAAAAATATACATGACCCAAGCTTTCTTGGGCCAGTGGTTCCAATCAAAAACTGCTCACTTAATTCTACCTTTACTGGATTTTTTTAATGCTGACATGCTGAAAGACGTTCCAAAACAAAGAATATAAATTACATAAAATGATTCCTAGCAGCATGTGTGAAATAAACAATAGTGCTATGATGACATACTTCTAGTCCGTGTATGAAGTGAAGTATGCAATGGCTAATGGGGTTCTCTCTATATTCCTCATTTCCACTGGAGACATTAAGTCTTCATGTGCTTTTAAATATTTAACCTCAAATTCGACTCATTATGTGTGCAATTTGCAGCATCATTTTATATCAAGGTAGAATCAATTTGACCATTTCTTGTTTTAAATTTTCCTAACTGCATTTTTATGCTCTGTCAGGTTTAAATGAGAAATTGCAAAAACTGGAAAATGCGCTTGCTAAACAGGACCTGGACCTGAAGGAGAAGGATGATACCATTGCTAGATTGAAAGAGCTCCGTGACAATATGGAGAGCGAGCTTGAAAAGGCGAAGAAGAAAAATGGAAGTCAGTGAGAAGAGATTCAAAGGGTTTTTGAATATGTGGTTCATAAACTGGGAAAAATTCAGAAAACTGCAATCAAATTAACCACAGATAAAAAAAATAATTGCTCACTTGATGCATCATTACTCTTTTTTTTCTTTTCTTTTTGTTGTTGTCCAGAACTAGTGACAGAACTTAAAACAAAGGACCAGCAACTTGCTAAAACTGAAGCCAAACTTAAGGAGATAAATCAAGACTTAAGTAAGAATAAAATCTAGTAATGAATGACAGAGGTGTTCCAATATAAAATGTACAAAATGAATGCATTATAGTAATTGATTCTTTCTTTCTTTTGTTTTAGTTCGCAAGCAGGACGAACATGAAAAGGAACTAAGAAAAATCATAGAGGAGAAAAACATTTTGCAAAACAAATCACAGGAAGAAATCTCTGGTATGACAATACTGTCAAAACACTCCAAGTCATGATAAAGTTCACATGTCCATTATTTTTTACACTTATATTGCATTACATTGATTTGGATTTTATTAATTTGGTCTATTATATTGTATTCAAACCTTAGACTGTTTTCTTAGCCTTAGTATTTTTCATCCCTTTTATCAGATTTAAAAAAGACACTGAAAGCACAAAAACAAGACCTTGCTAAGAAGGACCAGAAACTCCAGGATAAGGACAAAGAAGTTGCTGAATTTCAAAAGAAGATAAAACAAGAGAAAGATAAATTCAATGGTGAGTGGGGTGCCACTATCTTTTAGTAGTCAATAAACAATGCAAATAACATTTGGTCAGGGACCAAAAATGTTTTATTTTGCATGTATCTGCAGAAGGAAAACTGACTGGTTTTAATATTTTCACAATATTTATAGGTGTGGTCAGTGAGAATGAGAAACTTAGACAACAACTGGATGAGACTAAACAGAGAGTGGATGAACTTGAGAGTGAGATTTATTTATTTTTTCCTGAGCAAAAAAAAGGACTATTAGCATTATTTATTATCAGATTTAACAGTAAGCTTTTGTTTCTTTTATAACTCCTTTTTTCCAGAAACTATAGAAGAAAAAAAAGAACTTCCTAAGGAAGGTAAGTTTGTGATTTCAGTCTGGTTGTAATATACAGAATAAAAAAATCAATTAGTTACAGTCTGTAAAAATGCAATTAAACTGAAAAATGTCTGCCTGTGTGCCCATGCCAGAATGGCCGAAGTTTGACGCAAACACTGCCCACCGCAGACTCATCTTGTCGCATGATGAGAAAGAGGCACGCACCTCTTTATTGGCTCAGCCTGTACCTGACACCCCTGAGCGCTACGACACAGCTATTGCAGCTCTGGCAAAAGACGGATATAATTCTGGAAAACATTACTGGGAAATTGGGGTGTTTGGAAGAAATTGTTATGTTGTGGGAGCGGCCAAATCGTCCGCTCAGAGAAAAGGTATTCTGACATATGGCCCTTCGGCTGGCCATTGGGTTATTCTGAAGAAAAGAGATGGAACACTTTTTGCCATTGCAGACAAGCAGATTCAAATAAACGTTCATAAAACACCTTCTGTAATTGGGGTCCAGGTGGATTTTAAAAATAAAGAGGTAACTTTTTATGATGCAGAAAATAAATATGAAATCTATAGGTTCACTGGCAATGAGCTGCAGGGTAAAATTTACCCATATATTGAGACCTGCAGTGATTCTAATATTCTTGACCCTCCCTTGATCTTAAAGCAAGTTAAATCCATAGATTGGCTCAAGCAATGATCTCCATATATTAGGAGTCTGTTATGTATGCAAAGAAAATGCCCTCTGCTTTGAGATTTCGGATTGTTACGACTCTCAACTGCATTCTTGAATGTCTTGCATCTTTCATTTTAATAAAACATTTACATTTGAAAAACAATATTTATCCTATATGTTGGTCTTTTAACATAAAGTCATGCAAAATCTGTCATTTACTCACTTTCATATCGATCCAAAACTGTATCTTTCCTCATAGAAGATATTTTGCTAAATGTCTTTTTTTTTTTTTTGTCCATACAATGGAAGTCAATGGTAACCAAAACTGTTTGGTTACTTACATTCTTCAGAATATTTTATGTGTTCCATAGAAGAAATAAATGCATACAGGATTGGAACAATATAACAGTGAGTTAACAATGACAAAATGTTCATTTTGAACTTGAATGTCTGAAGCAGCAAATCCACACAGAGGAAACATAAATGAAAAACATTATTTTTTTTATTTTAGGGGAAAAACAACAACAGGTTTTTGCTTCCAAACATGTACTTTTTAAGAGTAAACATGGTGCTTGAACTATGGTCACATGCATACCAAGCTCAGCTTTTAAAAAAAACCCATTTAACAGTATAATAGTCCATAGGAGACTTGATTTCAGTTACATTTTGAAGAGTGAAAAAGACAAACAAATAAAAAACATTGTATGAAGACCTCAATCTCTGCCTGCTGTTCCAGCAACCCGGCTATAGAAGTATGCAACAAAGGTTGGGTCCTTTTCCTCTAAGCTGTTCAAAAAGGCATTTCTCTCCTCTTCACTCCATGAATCAAACCACTGAGTCCACAGTCTTAACTGGCATTCAAAAATGTTAGGTGGGCGATCATTCACCTGAAATTAAGAGACAAAGAGGATACCCGTGTTAACATACAGATCTGCCTACAAAGCATCTTTTGATATGGATGGATGGAAAAAATAAAACACCTGTAGTGTGTTGAGCTGGTCTAATAAACTAGACACCTTTCCAGGCACTGCCTTTGAGATCAGATCTTCCAGAAATCGTTGCTTCTGGACAGCGTTCCATCCAAAATACCAACCAAGTACACATCGTTGCTCCTGAAGCGTCACGAAAGTCAGCGGCAGGGAGTTTTCTCTGGAGCCCATGTTGAGGGACGTGCAGGACAGAGCTTCCAGACGTTGGGGGACGATGCCTCCCGAGGCAGGAGGAAAGTCTGTGATGGAGACTGGAGGATGGGTGGACCAACCTTGTCCATCAGACATTCCTAACTGTGTAATGGTGTGCTTAGAGACCTGTGTATGGGACAGATCTTCCACTGTAGGGAGCATCATGGATGCATCTGGTTGGCCTGAGCCTTGTAAAGCCTGGTGGAACCAAGCCATTTCTAATAAGGTCAGAAAAAGGAGGATTTCAGCGGGCTTGACTTTGATGGTACTAAACAAAACTATTGTTAAAAGAAACACAGGTTACCTTAATGTTGAGCATTTTCATAACTTCATACATAAACTGAAACCCTAAATAAGGCACCTTCGTGCATTTAACATATATCATTACATCGGTTCAAAGGCTTCGTAAAACTGTTAGCTTTGCATCGTATCATCATGACTGCAGTAGGCTACACTTGTATTCACTTCCTTGTTAAGACACACTGTGCTTGCTAACGTCAGATTGCTAGCTGACCAAAACAAACGGGTAAACTCCGTTTTAAAACATTACTTGAGTCAGAGTGTCATTTTAAATAAAACGTCACCTTTTCTTAGCTGGATTTGTCACCTTCGGTCAAAAAAGCATGTTGTTACTCTCAAAATCGGAAATAATTAGAGGGTAAATAATCTCGATTGAGCCGTGAAGCTCAAACGGAGCCGCTCGATGTGTTCTTCTGTTCAATAAACCGCTCGGACACCAGGGGGCTGTGCATGTTGTGATGTCCTATTCGTGAAACGCACTTCGCCTCACTAGGCCATGATATGTGATACACAAAATCTCAAGATCCGAAATTGCATCTATTCTTTATATTGCAATATATATAGAATATGCTTAACAAGGTCAATGTGTTATTAAGACGGCAATATTGGAGGACAGTCAGCATACATCTTATTGATGATGCACACAACAAGAATAAACAGTATAAACGCAACTAGACTTAATGGATTTATGTTAAAAAGGAAAATGAAATCACAAGAAACAATAAAATTATGTAACAAGAATATTGCCTGTTACTTTGTAAACATCAAACAACTTTGATGTTCTCTGTCTGAGCTTCCACCCCGCCTCTTCCGGAAGCGCTCGTGGCGCGCTGACGTCGGTGAGGAAGGCGTTGCGGTCCGCGCGAGCTACAGAACGAGCGAGGGGAATCAAGATGGCGGACCTCGAAGACGTTACTCTGGACGGGAGGCCGCTCCATTCGCTCCGGGTAGCGGATTTGAAAGCGGCATTGGAAGAGAGAGGGCTTCCGAAAAGCGGACAGAAGAATGCTCTCATCAAGAGGCTCAAAGGGGTAAGTGGGAGTTGCTGTTTTCTCTGCTCCGCAGAGTCCGAAGACCGTGATTCGGAGGCCGAGCGTCGGTGGTCTCGCTAGCTGCTAGCGCGCACTAGCTGGGGTGCTCATGCAGTTTGTAGTGTGTCATCATGCCCCCCCGCTGTTGCTTGTTTGTGTGTATGTGTGTGACATGCAAAAGCGGCGTTTATTTTCTATACATGTGAGTTTTGGGATGGAGCAGACGTCGCAAAGGGTTCAGGGCGATGCGGTTGTGTTTACAAGTCTCTGGATGGCTGTGAACTGTGGGTTTTTTTAAGTTGTCGGCGGGTTCGCGCTTTGTTAGTGCATAAGGTGTTGGGGGGTGGGGGTTATTTAACGGGGGCGCGCTTACTAAAAAGTCCTTCAAATATTAAGTTTTTGTAAGATTAAACACGTTTTACCCCTTGAATATCATGTGCATTTGCTGAAATAAACACTGGGGTCGGACTCGCATCGCAGTTCCTTTGCGTCGGTGGGAGGATTTGATTGATTGATGGATGTGCCGCGCGCAGCAGCTGCTTTGAAGTTTGATCTGAAAGTTACTGTTAAGTACTGAACAGATGTAAACATGTCTGTCTGTCAATTTCCTGATTGGATTCTTTAGTATCTTATTTCGTGCACTTACTTATTTGATGTATGATGAAATAAAAAGGTAAATAAATCTATGTGCGTGATTTATTAATAATCCGTAAACAATCAATGAATCAGTACACGATTTCTTTTTGTATTTTTACTGCCTTTATTATTAGATCGTACGCTCTGATCCATACAACCCTCAAATATTCATGAATAATCACTTTTGACCACTAACTGACTGTACATGAGCAGTTATGCCCGGCCTAGATAAAATTGACATCTCATACAAATTATTAAAAATGTGCAAAATATTTTGTACTTATAAGCATATTGCATAGTTGTGATTGGAGTCAGTTGTTTCATTTGTAATAATGCAATGAAACAATCCAAATTGTGTGGTCATAATTTTTGGCCAGGCTGACAGAAATAAATTATGAACACATGCAAAGACAAGAGAGAACCAATGAACTATTAATAACTAATTATTTTGTAGTCCGTGTATGCTTTTTCATGTGAGCTTTGTTTTCTATGCATTTTTTTTTTTTGCATTGTAAAATAAAACTTGTAGCTGTAGTAGCCTTCATATATCGACCTATATTGATTTTTTTCAGATACCAATTATTTGTATGTTTATGTTCCCGGTTTACAGAACTGATATTTGTTTTATTTCTGTTTTTGACAATTATAACAACAGCACTGAACTGAACAAACTGTTTTATTTAACACTTTTTAAAGGGTTAGTTCGCCCATTTAAGACATGAAGTTGTATGCAATCCTTACCAGCACTATAGTACATACACACTGACCCACTCTGTTGTCACCTCCCTGGTCAGAGTTCTGTCCGCTGGAAGTTTTTCAATAAAGTACTCCCGGTTATTTTCCGGGGCCACAAAACTGTGCTTTTTACGTGAAAAAAATGATTTGCGTTTCAAAGCTTGATTAATTTACCACACAAAAAACACGCCGGTCAAAATTCACACCTCAGTTTTAATCGGCACTATTTTCGATCCATTTCTATCAATCCGCGCTGCTGTCAACGTCAACAGTGCACACGTTCCGATCGTGTGATTTTTTTTTTTTTCCCAAACCACTTCAGCGGAAATCCCGCCCTGCACTACACCAAACACTGATCCCTAAACCTACCCGTCACTGTAACCTAAACCAATGAAATCGGCTGCAGGGCGGGATTTCGTGGTTTGGGAAAAAAAAATCACGCGTTCCGATCAGCTGTTCCATAGTGTTTACACAATCGATTGACAACGACGTAAAAAGTATTAAATTAACAATGGTGCGAACTTGTAAATTCCCAGGCTGTGACCACAATTGTGCCGGGATCAAAGTTCAGATTCCATCGTTTTCCTGTTTCGAATATAACTATGAGACAGCTTTGGCTGGTTGCCATCGGCTACTCTGCGGGAGCTAAAATATCCAGAATAAAGGATTTTCGTGTGTGTAGTGCTCACTTCAGCGAAGACGATCCCCAACCAAGGAGGAAAAGGAAAATTAAAGAGTTTTGCTGTACCAGTACCACGGGTAAGCTCTATTTACTAACTTTATGATTAAACTGATGTTTAGACTCCATTATAAAACACGTGAAAAGATGTCTAATATAAAAACAGCTATAGGGATATTGGTACAATTTGCTGAGAAAACTATTTGATTGAACACACACACAATTGAGGTTTTGTGTTGCAATCAATAACATTGTCGTTGTGCTAAAATTACTTTCATCATCTGATCCGTCTGGCATTGTGCTAAAATTGGTTTCATCATCAGAAGTTTCGCAGTCAGACATGTTGTCAGCGAGTCGCGCTATCAACAGCTGATCGGAACGTGCGCACTGTTGACGTTGACAGCAGCGCGGATTGATAGAAATGGATCGAAAATAGTGCCGATTAAAACTGAAGTATGAATTTTGACCGGCGTGTTTTTTGTGAGGTAAATTAATCAAGCTTTGAAACGCAAATAATTTTTTCACGTAAAAACGCACAGTTTTGTGGCCCCGGAAAATAACCGGGAGTACTTTATTGAAAAACTTCCAGCGGCCAGAACTCTGACCAGGGAGGTGACAACAGAGTGGGTCAGTGTGTATGCACTATAGTGCTGGTAAGGATTGCATACAACTTCATGTCTTAAATGGGCGAACTAACCCTTTAAATACTGTAATTTCTGAAATTTCACTACCTCCTTGCATACAAACAAAAACACACTTCTGCATCAATAAACAAATAAAAAGAGTCTGAAAAGTGCACTAAAATAAACTATTTAAAATAAAATCTTTGATCAGGTAAACAAACAGGGATGGAATATAGCATGTAAAAAAAAAAAAAAAAAAAACGGGTCTATCAACTCCCCATAAATATAAGCATTCGTTTTAAACTACAGTTTTAAAAGGTTTATGTTTGATATATAGGCTTAAGAGCGAAGAGAATGGAACACGCTGGAATAATCGATGGAATACGCAAACATTGTCAGAAAAATAAACAAAACAGTGAATACATCATCGCAATTTATACCGAGTCCATCTCGATCTGGCATGTTATCAGAAGAATTATTAATAATGTCGGTATAGATGATAAAATACCTGCTGACAGAGTGCTGTTTTTATCTGTGTTTACACAGAACTTCACTCGCTGAGATAATTAATTTCCAGGGAGCTGTATTTATTTAGATGTTTATTAGCTATATAAAGGTTATATAGTAGACATTAATATAATTTAAGGAGTATTAAACGAGTGGATCGTGATAAATATTTCCGAGCCTCAAGCCAGTAAGTGAAAGGCACTATGAACTCGACTTCATGAGACTAATGATGAGCATTGACAAACAGAGATAATTAAATTCAGCACTTTTATTTCCAACATGCACTTACTCATGGCTGTTTTATTTAATTCATTGAAACTTGTGTTTTTATTGGGACAGGACTGTGAGTTTGTCTCTATTTTTTTAGCGCCAAGTTTAAACTAGGCTACATAGCAAGCATTTATGTGACATATCTTGTTTGTGCATTAAGGGCAGTTATGTTAAATAAAGTTTAATAATTAAGGGAGGCAAGTTATTTTACCTCCGAACACTCTTGTTGACTCATCTTCCCCTCAGTTCTTGCACTCAATTTTCAAAACGCTCACAAGATGGCGGCATTTATAGGTGAATCCAATATTACAAAACCAATACCCGATTATGGGCAAAATATCGGTAAAACCGATTATCGGTCGATCTCCAGAGCTCGAATTTCGGTGCGGGTATTGCGCATAATTTTAATCATTTCCGCAAGTCTCCGACTTATAATGCAGGAAATTCTCTTTAACACGTAGGTTGAATGAGTAATTGAATCCACACAGATTATAAAATCAAATCAGTAGAGATGCACCGATTGATCGGCTGGTGACCGGAATTGGCCGATTTTCACGTGATCGGCCATGAACGGCGACCGGCCGGTCAGTCTGACATATGCCGATTTTATGCCGGTCAAATGCACTCGGCTGCCGCATGATTAACATTGCGCAACATCAGCATCACACGTGCACACGGAACGCGCATGTAGGAAACCTCGTGAATTACGGCCGTTTCACACCGCAAACGTGAGCAGTGCGTATTATTTCCAGCGTGCATGTAAATCAATGAGTGCATTCACACCGGGACCAGGAGCAGCGCGTGAGCGTCGAGCGGGTGCAGCGGATTTCGGCGCAGAGTCTATTTTTGCTGCACTGCTCACGCTCAATTAAAGTGAAAGCACACTTTTGATGGACAAAATAAATATGATTTCACACAAAAGTGCCCAAAATGCACAGAATTTGCATGTCTGGCGTGTTTTAACAAGAACTGAAGTATATGTCAGAAAAGAAAATTAATTTTCTTTTTGAAATGAACACATTTTTTTAGTTTGATATTGGATGTGAAAAGAAGGAAATGGTTCTTCCATACACTTTAGATGTGTGTGAATTTCCCACACCAGGAGTAATTTATATAGTCCTATTTTATAGCGAAAATGTTCTATGCAAAATAGGGCTGTCACCTTACGTTTGAAAATCGATTGCACAATCGATCGGACCAACCAACACAAGTTTCGAAAACGAAAATAGGGAATCGATTTTTAAGGCCTTTGTTTTTTTTTACCAAAAATGTGTTTTAGATGGACAGATCAATACAGTATCAGAACATGTAGGATGCTGGAAAATAACAATGTCTTTTCTGTTAACCAAATTCGCTATTACTTCAATGCAAGTGAACAAGCGCGCCGTTATTTGTTGCTTAGTGACGTGTGTGTGTTCAAGTAAGCCAGAAATGCGCAGATTCTGTGCAATACGCTGTATTTAATATATCATGAGGACTCACGAGTTGCGTATATGCGCTAAATCCGCGCAGATTTGTCTTACACGAACTTCCCCAGCAAAGTGAGTAAACACGCGCCAGATTGGCTCGTGATTTGACAGCGTTTCCCGCCAAAGATCATTTTTACCCCGCGTTTGGCGGGTCGGAGGGTGTTAATTTCAATCCCTGAATGTTGCGCTCCTGTTTATCATTGTGCACGAAACTTCACGCCAATAAATCATCAGAAATATTGCGACGTGTGCGCGTCTCAAGCGCCTCTTTACGCTCGTCCTAATGCCTGTTAGGTGTCCGTGGATTTGCCTGTATTTGGTGTTGAAAATGGAAACGTCTTTAGACATGGAAAATCGATTTTACAATCGATTCAATGAACACTTATGTCTCAAAAATCAATCAGGATTTTTCCACAAAAGTGACAGCCCTAATGCAAAATGTTCTACTAAAGAAAAGAGAGAAAATATTTATTTGTGTGTGCTGTAAAGTGGTTAGAAAAAATGAAATCGGTATCGGCTAAAATCGGTATCGGCAGGTCAAACTCTGAAAAATCGGAATCGGCCTGAAAATTGTAATCGGTGCATCATCTCTACAAATCAGTAATTTTAAAACTTTCTGCGAGACGCAATTTCACAAACAGCGTGAGTGATTCAGCTGTGCTGCGTCTTCTCTCTCTGTCTCTCAAAATAGGTTGCACAAGGTAAGCGTCAAGCGCGCTGCAGGTGGCGAGACTAGACACTAAAGTTTACCATTTGCATGTCTTTAAGTCTTACCAGTTTAAACATTCAAGCGATTTTAAACTATTCAGTACTTGCGCGCTCTCTGAGGTTTTTTTTCTGCATCCATACATACAGTAAAACCGCCTCACAAACAGCTGGCAAGTAACAAAAGTCAAAAACGTACAAAATGATGTCAAAATTCCAGTCTTGGTGTGTATCCTCGTAAACAGTCGGTTATGTCTTAAAGCTGCAGTAGGGAGTTTTGAGAAAACGTTGACTTAGCCTGAAAATTTGAACAAGCACAACTTACAGGTCCCACCGCCTTGCTCTCTGCTGCGCTACAGCCCTCCCTCCACAGCTCGTCCTCCACAGCGGAGCCTGTCGTGAACGCGCAGGCTAGTAAACAGGGCCACCCATAACGGCGGATAAAAAGTTATATGGCACATTCACTAATAGGGACTAAACGTCAATAATATGCTTTACATTGACTATGGCCTGCCCATACTTTGACTACAAACTTGGTCCTCAAATTATTATGTATTTTCCAATAGCCTACATGTAACTTTATAACGTTGCACTCTTTCTATAAGTTATAAATAGCTAGTAAGATAACGTTAATATAACGGTAACTAACGTTACAGTATGTAAGTAATTATTCTAGCGATATATAATGCTAGATAAGGTGTGCAAGTACATTATTTCAGCAACATGACAAGCCAGTGAATTAGCAGGTTTCAATTGTTGCTTAGCAGAGTGCGTGACATTTTATCTACATGTTATGCGGCTAGAGTTTTGACACCGAGTCAATGGGCTCGGTGTCATTCTTTCTTTTTCGCTTGTTTATCGTCATCAGTCTTTTTCCTTTTACCTCTTTGTTTTATGAGCAGGTGTCACTCGAGAATTGGCAGTTCAGGTTGTTTCTCCGTCATAAGCACAGCTGCAGCACGCCGGCAATCTTGAGTTTGAACGACGGCTCGCGCAACACGCTGTGCAAGAGAGGGGTGTGATCAGCGCGTACACGAGCGTGATTGACACTGCTAAGACACTCCTGGCTCTGATTGGTTGTTTCTGACCGGGACCGTGTATTTCTTGCAAATGGCAATAGGACCACTGGGAGGAGCCAGAGGAGCTTGATTTTTACACAGATTATCTGTCTCATATTCTACTGTCAGGACATAATGACAGTTTTAGCAAATACATGTTTTCAAAAGTTACCTACAGGAGCTTTAAATAAGCATAAAACGCATGTGACAGTATAATGAAACCAGTAATGGATCCTTGCACTAGGCCTAGCTCTTATTGTGATAGCAGCCTAATATATGTGTGTCATTAATTTTGTTGTCAAAACAGCAAAAGATAGCTTTAATTTTAAGGAATCAGGATTAATAGCCTATGTATTTAATTTAGTCAGGACTAAAGACTATCCAGTGTTATTTTACATTTGATTACTTTATTCAGTTTCTGAAGTATTTCTGAATACTAGTTAGACCTATCCAAAAACATTTTCTTTATTTGTATCTTTATTCTATTGTATTTATTTGTGCTACTTTTTTCAATTTAATTCAAAGATTGAAATTAAGCTTCCTCCTAGTGTAAACTCTTAACAACAAAATCACCCCATTGTAAAAACGCAATGAGTGAGCAAACATTTTGGTGAGATAAATGTAATAAAAAAAGTCTAACCCCCTAATTGTTGTCTAATAAAAAATAACACAATTTTGATGGTTTATGCACACTTGAAGGGTTATTGAAAGCAAATAACCCCTTCATACATCACCTTTGGCCTCTTCTGTATGTGTCCATGAAGTTAAGAAATATAATCAGCTCTATTGTTTACTTATACTTGTGCAAAGTGTATGTAGTATAGATAATAAAATGTTTGTCATTCTGCATGTGCAACAGGCTCTTATGTTGGAGAACCTTCAGAAAACCTCCACTCATCACATTGGCCTGCAGCCTAACTCCCGGGTGAGCCAAACTGAGATGTTTTACAGTAGAAATAAGCATGTTACTGTTTGTTCTTGTGTGGATGACTTAACTGCACTTTAACAACCGTACCATTTTGTATTACATGTGTGTTTGTTTAGATTGGGGAGGAAATGAGTCAGAACAGCTTCATTAAACAGTACCTGGCCAAACAGCAAGAGCTTCTCAGGCAGCGATTGGAGAGAGAGGCACGAGAGGCAGCTGAAACTGATGGTAAGTATCTGAAACCAAATAACGCTAACAAACTTAAATTGTATCAGTGTGTGCGTGTTTAAGTTGAATGTGTATAATAATGATGTTAGCCAACACAAATGCTGCATCATCGTATAAATAAAGGTGAAGGTGAACTATAGAAACACTGTTGAATCTAAAATGTACAAGTACATTCAACATATGCTAACATGTAGCTTTTGTTAATATGCAGAACATTTTGGTATTTTATAGTGATGTGGACACACCTAGGCCTTCAGTGGTGTCCTACCTGAATTAATTCCACCTCTTAATCTTAATAGGCTTTTAATAGTGTAGTGCATGACTCTTTATAACTGTTGTGAAATTGCTGTTTTATTTTGCACCGGCAATTATAGGGTTGATGTGGTGAGTTCGGAAAAGGCCGGGTAGAGAGAGACCAGGCTGGTGCGTTTGTGTACAGTTGTTCTTGCGTTCAGTTGTTCTTGCGTTCAGTTGTTCTTGCGTTCAGTTGTTCTTGCGTTCAGTTGTTCTTGCGTTCAGTTGTTCTTGCGTTCAGTTGTTCTTGCGTTCAGTTGTTCTTGCGTTCAGTTGTTCTTGCGTTCCGATTAAAAAGTTCAGAAACGGAGCCTCCCTTGTCTGTCATTCTTCAGACGTTACAATAGTATGAATGTTTGAAAAAAAAAGATTCGATCATAAATTTACAAGAAAAATTAAGAAGAAAATCATATTCAGCACGGAAAAAACGGGGACAAAAATAAGCATTATACTCACCAAAACTACTGATTATTTTTTACACAAAATCCATCCTGATTTCCTTTCTCAAGAAGACTTCAATTACTCTGTTGTACAGGTTATCTGTGCGTTTCAGTTCCAACAAGAAGTCTTTTCTATCGAGGCTAATACTGAAAGTCGAGTCTGTCCCGTCGTATTTCTGGCATAAGTTTTAATTCACTTTAGGGCTGAGAGAATGTCCGCTCGACAGAAGCAGTGGACACAGGCTACATACGGATTAACGCACGGGTCTACTGGGCACTTGCCCGGGGCACTGGGCCAGCAGGGGGCCCTGTCAAATTATATTCTTTTCAAATAATTATTATTATTTATTTATTTTTATTTTTCAGTAAAATTGTGTTGAATATTGTGGAATAATGTGATTATTTTTTTGCAGTTGCAAAATATTAAAGTAGTCATATAATGCCATTTCTGTACAAGTTATTATGAATGTTTAGGGTCTAAATGAAAACTTTGTAATATACTTTTATTAAAAATTCTCATTAGTATTGTAAGAAAAAACGAATTTTACCCGGTCAAAAACAGCTCTGTTTTCAGCACGCCGTTTCAGTGCATATGCCTTTAAATGATAATGAGCTTCGCTCACTCCGCCCCTCTGTTCTGCGGGCGTTTTGACAACGCACGTGGAGTGTTGCCTTGACAACAGTTGAGGGTATATTTTGGAGAAAGAATGGCAGCGGGAGTCTGAGGACACATCTGTGCAACCGTATCAGTTTGAACCGGAGTCGCACCCGGAACAAGATGACGGCCGCAAAGAAGTTTGACAATTAAGGCTTGAACAGGACGTTTCTGAATGGTTGGTTAACGTAATGTCACTTTGATCTATTTTTGTATGCACTGGCAGGGTAGAGTAGTGAGATACGAACGCTATGTGTTTACTGATACGTTAGTTCATTGACCGACATTGACGTTACAACTAATGGTCATGAAACTTTTTTTCGCGATTTGCAAAGATTAATATAAAGGTTAATGAAACTTTACACTTACTTCTGGAGGTGCAGAGGGAACATAAATAGTTGTTACCGATTCTTTTTTCAGGAGCAGCTTCTTAGCAAAACCAGCTTTATACTGACCCTCGTTTATAAAGCAGTCTGGTGAGAAATGATTCGCGCAAACATAAAAGCAGGGACGTTGATCGTGGGGAATATTCCCTTCGAAAACAAAACTCAGCCACTGTGTCTTCAGCGGTTCGGATTTAGGAACATCAAAATGACTGTTCGTTATTACACCCAAGAACAGAACACCACAATCGCTTAGATGCCATTCTGCTCCAGCGTATCAACAATAACGGACTATGTTGACAGCTCGCTCAGGGCGGGTCTGTGTTGAAACGCTGCTGTCAAACAACAATCGTGGGGGGGGCGTCCGACCGTGTGACGTCACACGGTCGAACGGCTCGATTTGAGACAGGGAAAAACATATAAGGAGATTAAAACAAAAACAATGGATGGATTTTTATCATTATATGATGGTTGTGTTCAGGCACTGCCAACACACATTTCAGTACAATCAACTTGTAAAAGTGCATGTACCATTATATGACCCCTTTAACTGGTAAATAAATCAAATAAATAATTGTATTGCTGCGCTGTTGAGAGGGACATCTAGAGGCGAGTGAAAATCATTGTGTTATATAGTCACGCGTAGAAGATGGTTACTCGAAAACAAAACAAAAATGAGTTTAAAACCACAACCAAGTGGATCAATGAAAAGAAAGCAAAAAAAGGAAAAACAAAGAGAAGGTCAATGGGCTATATGCACGCATAACTTCCGCGTTTGACGCAAGGATGCTCGTGCGTTTCCGGTTGGGGAGATTTAAAGCGGAGGAAAACCGAGGAAACGGTATTATGGCAGAGTCTTCAAAATTTACTGTCCTCTCGTCTTTGAAACGAAACTTTAATACGTTTAGATGTAATTTTATATATAGTTATGTTTATTTAATATAATAAACACAGAAGCATAAACAAAATGAGGAGTGTCTGTTTTGTCTGTTTTTGTGACTAACGTTTCTTTAGTATAGCAATAGAGTATAAAAACCAATATAAATTCTCGGTATAGCATTGGACTCTACGATCGGCGGAAGTAATCCAGCATCCTTAGATCTTCACCGGAAATACCGCCGTGCATAGAGCCCATTGCAAAAGCTATCAACAATCTCCAGCTTTCTTACGATAATCAAACGACGATAACGATAACTGACCTTCTCATCTGAGCTGCTTCAGCACTCAAACACCCGACCGAGTGACCAGATGACCAATCAAATCGCAGTAGGCAGGTTTTATGTTCACAGAAGCGTGAGCCGAGTGCGAATTCCAGCGCAACGCGCTTCACGCTTCAGTTAAAGGTCATACAGTGCGAGATAAGAGACAAAACAGCTCTTTTAAAGCAACACTAAGTAAGAATTTTTACCTTAAAATAATGTTTTCAAAATCGTTTCAGTGGTTCATCAAGTTGTGACATGGTGAAATGCACTTATGCCACCGCTTTGCGGTCCTTTATCTGATATATCCACGCTATGTAAGATTGCCAGATCGGGTCGCATTTCTGTAGTCTGAATGAGACATAAGAAAACTACAAATTTGACTTGCTTTACGGCAAGCGTTACATCATACTTTCATAAAATCATGCATCATTCTCTACCTTGTCTGTGGCCATTGTCGATTCCAAAACCGGTGCTGGATAAACAGAGAGCATGTGCGTGCGTGCGACAGTAGGATGCGGTAGGCTAAATTATTTACGACAGCAGTAATGGACAATTCCGTTTCCAACGTGTAGGGCGACCGCAGAGGAAAAGTTGCTTGGTGTTGCTTTAAGATAGAAGTTTTAAGCGACCAACAAAAATAATCAGTTTGCAAAGACTGTATCAATCAAAGCTCAGCTTTGGGAAGGGAAGATAATATACAGGTCAAGATAAAGAGACTGAGAGAAGAAAGAAAGGAGATGGAGATGAGAGAGAAAGAGCAGGTATTGCATACTGTGCCCAGAATGAATTCATACGAATTGGGCGAATCGTAAAATATGTACGATTTAGCAAAACGTAAAAAAACAAATGTCAACAAATGTGGCGAAAGGGGGCCTTTGAGACGTCTCTGCCCAGGGCACATCATCGCCGTAATCCATCCCTGTGTACAGCTGCCCCATGCTCTCACCCAGATTTTTTGAAGGAAATCAATGAGATCAGCCTTCAAAATCAGACATGGCATACATTACAGTCAGTTAATTCTGTTTTTACCCGGACAGATCGAATAAAGTTTCGTGACTGCGTTAAGCTGGATAAGGCTGAATAAGGGATTTTTTTTCCCAGTAGGTTTGAAACTGCTGGGGGTCGATGAGGGAGAGAAACTATTAAATCTACAGGAATATATTTTAGTTTATGCAGTTCGCTACAGATGCGGTTAGCTAGCTCTGACTACTAGTAATAGTACGTGCTCGGACCATCAATCAAATGCCAACCGTTATTGTACACCTGCTAGATGGCACCGTTGCAGTCAAATCGATATCTGATTGGCTGATTAAATCTGACTGATTATCTGATTGGTTAAACGTTAAAGCAACAGTTTCATTGCTATTCATTTTAAGCTACAGGTGCCCGCACTATCGATTTTGAAGGCCTCAAGGCATATTTCTTTGAACACAACACATGATGGCTGAAATATGATTGGATAAAAGCTCTAACATAAACATACACTACTGGAATCAGTGCAACCAAGATAAAAGCTATGGAATTAAGAGAATATACTATTGGGAATTATTTAATACACATTCATGGAAAAAATATATTAAAGCTCAAGTCAGTGATTCGGATAGTGTTTATGCCATATATATATACCGGTAATATTATAATTTATTTTATTTTTTTACCACTTTTAAAAATTTGGAGTGATGTAGTATTTAGATATAATAATTCAATTTATATCTTCTTCATATGAAATGATGGGAAATTATAATTTTGTATTTACCAATAAATTAAATCTGTGCACAGTAACTTTGTTCACTTTGTAATTTTATTTCTATTTTTTTCTGTAATACATTTTAAATTAGGGCTGGGCGATATGGAGCAAAAAATATATCTCGATATATTTTGCTATATCTCGATATTCGATATATATCTCGATATCTTTACAGGAAAATGGATGTGAATACAACTCAAAATATAGGCCTACAATCAATAGAAAATTAATTTTCCAAAACAGAATGTAACCAAATGAGAAAAATTAAACACAGGGCCTGAATTTCGTCATCATTATTAATCACGTGATTCATATACAGAAACTGAATAAAGTAATCAAATGGAAAATAACACTGAGTAGTATTTTAGTCCTGCATAAATTAAATACATAGGTTATTAATCCTGATTCCTTTAACTTAAAGCTATCTTTTGTTGTATTGACAAAACTACCTTTAAGAGGTAGTGCACGGATCCTGTGTTCATTATACTGGCATGCGTTTTATGCTTATTAAAGACAAAACCGACTATGTTTAGAGTATACTCACGACGACCGAAATTGACAATTTAGCGTGTTAAAGCAATATAATCCGCGAAAAATAACTTTTGTTACTGGCCAGCTGTTCTTAAGGCGGATTTTCTATGAATGTGCGCATAGAAAATAATCTCTCAGAGAGCGCGCGAGCACTGATTAGTTTAAAATCGCTGGAATGTTTAAACTGGTAAGACTTAAAAAGACGTGCAAATGGTAAACTTCAGTCACGATGCACTGCTGGCCCGATTGTGCGAGTGAATATCCATCATGTCCCGACTCCTAAACGCGAGTGTGTTTTATCGCCGCAGCTCTTGATGCTTGCCTTGCACAACACATTATGAGAGACGAGAAAGAAGCGGCACCGCTGAACACTCACGCTGTTTGTGAAATTGCGTCTGGCAGATAGTTGTTAAAAGAATGATTTGATTTTATAATCTGTGTGGATTACGATTGCGGGAATTTCCCGCATTATAAATGGGAGACCTGCGGGAATGATTAGACTTATGGGCAATACCCGCGCCGAAATTCGAGCCCTGCAATAGTTTAAAACAAGACGTTTGTAGTAGCCTTCTGATTACTGGAGTCCATTAATCGAACTTCCATGCCTCTTATATAGTAATTATATATTGTAGTATGTAGGCTACCAATTTACTAATGCAATTAATGCTCACACTCGGTTTCTCTCGTGCTCTGTCGCTCGCGCGCAGACACACTCGGAGTTCTGTAGCCTCCGGGCTGGTTGCGGATGAGACAATTGTTGAATGAGACAACACGCGAGGTGAGGGGGAACAAAAGCAAGGAGGCGGGGGCGAGCACAGCACAGAGAAGGCAAACAAGCAAAGTGGCGAAATCAGGATTAAATATAAACAATATATCGATATAAACGATATGTCAAAATCCATATCGTGTTTAAAAAATATCTCGATATATTTTAAATATCGAGATATCGCCCACCCCTATTTTAAATGATTGAAAATTTCCTAAAACATTTTATTTCAATAAATGTACTGTTTATACCTGAAATGGCTGTGGACATGTCTATTATCATTTGATTCAAGTCATTAATTATTTAGACTTCATTATTTATTGATTATTTTTTAGGAACAGACCATGAAGACCACACAGAGGCCAATGACAGTATCTGTACTGCCCCTAACCAGGTTAGAAATTTTATCAATCCTCTGCTTCTACAGTGTTTGCTCAAGTTTGGACCATGAATTCTTACAAAATTAATATTTTGTTTGTAGTCAAGCAAGGTAAGGAAAAATGTTATTTTTTTGGACATTTGTTGCATGGCCTGAACTTACCTTCCATGTCCAACAAATGTATTTCCAATAGGAGGTTGCTCCCTCCTTAGTCGACCAACACAAAGGAGGTACAGCAGTTGGGGTGACTGCAAGTGAGAGTGAAGAGCTCAAAGAAAAAGAAACACCCGGGCAGCCGTCCCCCTCCGCACCTGCCCAGCCTGGCGCAATAGCTTCTTTGTCGGTGCGGGTTGTTGGTGAAAGAGGACCGACTTCAAGCCATGTAATGGCTGATAGTGATGATGACAGTGAAGGTGGGGATGACAATGATGGCGAAGAGGAAGAGTGGAACGTCAAAGCTCCACGGAGTCGTCGAGCACAGCCTCCAAAAAGCCAACCGGTGAGGGAAAGATCTGGTGGCTCGCAGCAACAGCAGCAGCAGCCACCCCCCCAACATATACCTTTACTTTCACAGCAGCTCAGACAGCCCACTCCTCCCCCATCTCCTCCTCCTGAACTCTCTTTCCCACTCCCAGACACCCCTAAACAGAGCCCCCCTAGTCCTGGAGAGCCCCCGTCTAGGCAGCGCATATCTAGCTCTTCGAGCTCTGGTAGTTCCAGTAGTGACAGTCGTAGCAGTAGCCCTGAACCAGCAGGGGACTCCACAGAACGCAGACCAGGCCCATTGACCTTACTGGCACGCAAAATGGAGTCTGAGGGAGCTTTCTCTGGGGCGGGAAAGCGTGATAGGGAGGGAATTGATGGACAGAGAAGCCACCAAGAGGGAGTTGTGTCCGCAATTACCCACACAGCTAATGCAGCGTCAGTTCTGTCATACCCTAGTTCAGTGATCTCCAACCAAGGTGTTAGTGTTGTTAGGACAACAGTGACGGAGGAGAGTGATGGCACGAAGCGGGATGAGGGTAGTCATCTTTTATGGGAGCAAGAAAACAAAAAGAGGGAAAGGCAAGGGAAACAAGGAAGGCTGAAAGCCCTGGAGAAGGAGAGAGAGGAAAGGGAGAAGGTATTGGAACAAGAGCGAGCACGAGTTTTGGAACGGGAAAGACTGGAACGAGAAGAAGGTCTGAAACAGGAGAGGGAGAGGGCTTTACAGCGAGAAAGGGAAGAGAAAGAAAAGGCCTTACAGCAGGAGAGAGAAGAACGAGAGAAGCAAGAAAAGGAGAGACTAGAGAGAGAGAGGCAGGAAGCTTTAGAGCAAGAGAGATTGGAGAAAGAGAGGCTTGAGAAAGAAAGACAAGAACGAGAACAAGCCTTAGAGAGGGAGAGACTCGAGAAAGAGAGACAACAACAAGCTCTAGAGAAGGAGAGATTGGAGAGAGAGCGGCTTGAGAAGGAAAGACAAGAACGAGAACAAGCTCTAGAGAGGGAGAGATTGGAGAGAGAGCGGCTTGAGAAGGAAAGACAAGAACGAGAACAAGCTCTAGAGAGGGAGAGATTGGAGAGAGAGCGGCTTGAGAAGGAAAGACGAGAACAAGCTCTAGAGAGGGAGAGATTGGAGAGAGAGCGGCTTGAAAAGGAAAGACAAGAACGAGAACAAGCTCTAGAGAGGGAGAGATTGGAGAGAGAGCGGCTTGAGAAGGAAAGACAAGAACGAGAACAAGCTCTAGAGAGGGAGAAATTGGAGAGAGAGCGGCTTGAGAAGGAAAGACAAGAACGAGAAAAAGCTCTAGAGAGGGAGAGATTGGAGAGAGAGCGGCTTGAAAAGGAAAGACAAGAACGAGAACGAGCTCTAGAGAGGGAAAGATTGGAGAGAGAGCGGCTTGAGAAGGAAAAACAAGAGCGAGAACAAGCTCTAGAGAGGGAGAGATTGGAGAGAGAGCGGCTTGAGAAGGAAAGACAAAAACGAGAACAAGCCTTAGAGAGGGAAAGATTGGAGAGAGAGCAGCTTGAGAAGGAAAGACAAGAACGAGAACAAGCCTTAGAGAGGGAGAGACTCGAGAAAGAGAGACAAGAACGAGAACAAGCTCTAGAGAGGGAGAGATTGGAGAGGGAGCGTCTTGAGAAGGAAAGACAAGACCGAGAACAAGCTCTAGAGAGGGAGAGATTGGAGAGGGAGCGGCTTGAGAAGAAAAGGGAAGAACGAGAGCAAGCTTTGGAACGAGAAAGACAGGAAAGAGAAAAGGCTCTTGAGAAGGAGAGGCAGGAGAAAGAAAGGCAAGAAAGAGAGCAAGCTTTAGAAAGAGAGAGACTGGAAAGAGACGCTGCTTTGGAGAAAGAGAGACAAGAAATTGAGAGGGCCAAAGAACAAGAAAGGCTGGAGAGAGAGAGGGCTTTGGAAAGAGAAAAAAACGAAAGAGAAGCTGCTCTGGAACGCAAGAGGCAGGAGCGAGAAAGACTTGAAAAGGAGAAAGCTTTGGAGGAAGAGCATGAAAGAGAAGTGCAGAGAAAAGCAGAGCAAGAGCGAGCATTGAAAAAACAGAGAGAGGAGCAGGAGACTGCTTTAAAAGAAGAGAAGCAGAGAGCCTTGGAGGAGAGGGAAAGACTTTTGGAGCAAAAAAGAGTGCAGGAGGAGAAAGAAAAGGCTTTGAAACACGAAAAAAAGGAGGAACAAGAGAAAGAAAGTCGTCTTCCTCCATGGAAGCGTGGTCGTGATATCGGTGGTTTCTCGAGTCCATCGGAGAAGCCAGATGAAAGTAAGGCTGGGGAACCACAAAGCGCCGGCAAAGATACTCAATCTTCAGAGTCTGACCCACAACAGTCACCCACACTTGCAACACCACCATCCCCTCAATCTTCTTCCAAGAAGTCCCGCTTCCTTAGAGATGCCCCTGTGACAGTTCCTCTCCCATGCTCGCCAACGTCCGTGCTGAAGAGACCTCGTACTTTCTCAGACAGCCCGATGTCACAAGCCCCCGCAATTCCATTAGCATCTAAACCTGAGGAACTGGTGCAAGAAGATGCCCAGCCCCCTCAAACATCAGTCCTTGTTGCAGCACCCCATGAGCTTGAGAGCAAGACCCCCAAGGTGGCCACCCAACAACATGCACCACAAGAGGAAGAGATGGAGACATCAAAGAACAGCGTGGCAAGCAAAGACACTAAACATGAGATGTTCAGAAGAACCGAGGATGAGAAGAAAAGAGGAAGGGAAAGGGTAAAGGAGGTGGAGAAAAAAGAAAGGAAATCATCATCATCTAGCGATTCCTCTTCATCCGACTCAGATTCTGGGTCTTCATCCTCCTCGCGCTCCTCCAGTTCATCATCATCATCAGAGGAGGAGAAAAGTCGTTCCACTTCAGGTGGTAGGAGGGTGAGTTGTTCAAATGTTCCTCATCTTTTTGTCAGTCTTGCTCTCTCTCTTTAAACACTTTAAAGACATCACCCATGAGTATCGTAATCGTCAAGTGTCAAAATTCATCTAATTACATGCTTCTCAAATAGCTTCAGCCAGCTATGTGTTACAATAAGTGGCAAAAGAACTCAAGAGCATTAGAGAGCTGGCATAGTTAACTTAATATTTGATTGATTGATTGCCTGAGCTATTAAGATTTTTAATATCATGACTCCATTTTCCAACCATTGTCAGTTGTTTTGTCTTTTGCTTTCCTCTACATGTGGAAATTAAACTTCTAATACTGGGTTACTGAATCAGTTGCTCACAAAGCAAACAAATGTCCACTTACAATGGAACTCTATGAGGCCAATATGGGGTGTTTTGCCCCATAGACTTGCATTGTAAGAACGTAACTGTCCGTATGTGTTTTTTTATTTTTATACTAATTGCAAAGAAAATAGTTGAAATGTTCTGTGATAATTGAGCTAAAGTTATATGATGCAAGTAACCCAGAACATACTTTTAATTCAAGTGTGATAAATATGCTTTCATTTTGATATAATTTCACTAATTGTTTATAATGCACTTATATTGGATTGAATTGCATTGTATTATGCTTACATGCAACTCTTTTATATTCCCACAAAAGCATATCTTAAACATTTACTTTCCATCTTCCTCAGTCTAAACAGGCCCAGAAAGATTCTTCATCTCAGCCCACAGAAAAAGTTGGTCAAACTGTGAATGAAAAGCTTCCTACATCCCAGCGCAAAAAACGAGTCTTCTCAGAGCAGGAGGAGAAAGATGTTTGCAATGAGGATGTCATCCAAACCAAGGTCAGTATGCAACCAGCTTTTGGTAATATAACTTGGTTCTTAAACCCTTACTAAGCCTAGTAGCAATAAGTATTATCTTATACCACTTTCTTTGATTGTCATCTGTTTGTCTCAGTCTACTCTAAGAAACTGGCCATAAACATTTTTATATACAGTGCTTTTTCTATACACTTTAGAAACCCTGCCTTCAACAAAAAGATGAGAAGATGGAAACAAGAAGGAGAAAGGACAATATTGAGGAAGATGACACTAACAAAGACACTACCAGGTCTGTCTGTTTTCTACTTTGATTATGCCTACTTGTTGCGCACCAGAAATGAGGGATTGAATGAACTAGGGATGTGCACGAATTTTCGAATATTCGATCTGTAATTATTATTAGAAAAATAAAATACTATTCCAATTTTACTACGTTGCTTTGCTGGCCGTGAATCCATAGCCGCGTTTCCACTGCCGGGCCAGGGCTAACAGCGAGCCGAGCCAGTGGCCTCGGGCCTCAAGCACCGGGCTTGCGTTTCCACTAACGGGCCAGTAGCCCCTCAGCGCTGCCCTAAACCCCGCCCCTAACACGCCTTTCTGGATCAAACGTCATACAACCCAACCCATTTCAGCGGGTATTATGAATTTATTTATTTTTTAAGTTAGGAAGATGGCATGTATATTAACTCACTGGCCGTGGCTGCAGCCTGCAATAGTGTCCAGATTGTCTCGCGAGTCGTCACTAACAGAGGGACGGTGACCCAGCACACCATCCATCAAGTCGAACCATGGAATTTGGAAAGTTCCTTCTCTGAGCTCCGTTTTGTCCATTGTGCGTTTGAATCGCCTTGTACAATACTGCGCCTGCAATTTTTTTTTTTCCTGAACTTGAAGCGTTGCTCGCTGAATGCTTAGCTTAGAAAGTTCAGCATCGATGTATATAACGTCTTCGTTTCTTCACACGCCGTCAAATTGACGTTGTACCCTTTCTTCTGGCCAAATGCTCAGAAGAGCTTTGGTATCTTCGACAGCTATTTGGTATCAAATAGCTACCGTTATTTGACGGTAGCTATTTGATCACATAATGTTGTCGTCTGCCTCGCGAAGTTTGGAATTACTTGAAAATGATCTTACTAAATGGAATTACTTTTGATCAAATTAATTAATTAATCTGAGTTATAATATCATCACCACAATGAGAAATCACATGAAATCCAAACAGTCGAATGAGGAAAGGCAGCTGTCCAACACTGCATCACGGCTGCAGGTGAGCGCAGCTGGACCCCGCGTGATCCGAAATGATAACTTATCTTATAGCAAAATGATTTTGAGACATATACTTCCTTTAAGTTTCGTTGAGGGAGACCGGTTTAAGAACAGAAAACGCAAAGTGCTGTTAGAAACTTAGAACACCGTTATCTTTGTGTCTCTGAAACGTCTGTCAGCAAAGCGCCTTTTCTCACTCGAGCATAAAATTGCTGGCGGCACCCCTGCATGTGGATATTGTTTTTCTCAATATAAACGTGAAACAATATAAACACGATAATCATATGCTGATTCGAGTGTGTGTGTACGTTCTGTACGATATCTGGTGCAATCGCTTTATTAGGTGTTTTTGTCCCGTTCGTGCTGCTTGAGCATTCTTTTATTAATGCTTTTGTTTTTTATATTTTTTGTTTACACATAGGTCTACTGTTTAATGTTTTCAACTAAAAGAAAACTTTAACATATATTGTAAGCTTGTTTTGTATATTGCCTAATTGTAAGCTTGTTCAGAAATGGTGACAAAAACGTTTAAAAAAAATGAACTTAAAAAATAACGTCTTTTTCGTTAAAAGTCATTTAAATAAACGAATATTCGATTTTTATGAGCCCGAATATTCGAATGCAATATTTTTGAAAAATGCCCATCCCTAGAATGAACACTTTACTAAGCAGGTAAAAAGGGATGGACAGGCATCTAGAGCTGCTGTACATCCAATCTTTGTTGCATTAATTTCCTATTATCACTGTAAAGCTGCTTTGAAACAATCTGTATATTGTAAAATGCGCTATATAAATGATGGTGACTTGACTAGATCCAAACTTCAGTTTGGTTGGAGGGTGAGATAAAATATGGTCATTATGAGGTGGTTTAAGATGAAAGCATGTGATTTTACAGTTGTAAGGTCTTCATTTACAGTGTGAAGTTGGTGAAATGTTTGGGCTGCTCAAGTACTTGTATAGCCTATTTTTTTAACCCAGGAAATGCATACAATTTTTTATCTTGTCACGTGGAAATAATTCATTGTACCTCTACTGTAGAAATGTGCAATAACCAATTATTTGAAGACAAAAATGAACAGAACAGTGTTTATGCTGTCTATGCTACAAATAGCTTGTTTATAATTAGGGCTGGGTGATAAATCGATATAAAAAAAATATATCGATATATTTTACAATTTTAAATCGATATAGTTCAAATATGCGCTGTGATCCTTGCTCCAAGCAAGCTGCTGACCCGGAGCTCTCCGCGCGTGAAACTGCGCGCTGCAGAAGCCCCAGCCGCAAGCCATCGACAACCCGAAACGGTGTTTCCGCTACATTCATTCTGCCGTGGTGGGCCGACACACCAAACATCCTCTCGCCACGGCTGCAGCTTCTCAGTGAGGTCCGATATTGTGCAGAATGTGCACACTATTGTTTTATTGTTAAGCCCCACTAAAGGCATAAAAAATATTGTAACGCACCATCAAGTTTTCGTGCACTATATTCCAAGACTTCTAAAGTCATTCGATTGCATAATGTGATGTAAAAATTTATATTTAAGTCGTTAAGTTAAAGTTAATGGAAACTCATCTCTCCTCAGTCATTCTTCATTCAGCATTCAAACAGCATGTCGCGTTCGGTTACGACAGTAACACGACGACACTCTCTTCAAGATCAATGTTCCCACTCTTATACTTTATTTGTAGATAAATGTCTATGGTTTGCATAAAATGACTTTATCTTGCTGGAGTTTATAGCGCTTTCTAAATCATATTCCTTTCTCCCGGGTGTGTGTTAGATTACAGCACTGGAATAGAGAGCGCTATGAATTGTTCTTCATGCGCACTGTAACTGAAATTTAAAACTGTTAAAAGAAAAGGCTCAATAAACTGTTGCATAGATATAATATACTAAGCATCAAATATCTCTTCGTTTTGTGCTTAATTTTTTTAATGTGAAGCGCTGCACGCTGTGACTTCGCGTTGCTTCAAGTGCATCATTTTGTGCACGGGATGCGCATAATCGTTTTGCCGCTCTAAATTGGAGCCTTTCATATTATAATACTTTATAATATGAATGGCGAGGTTTAAACACCTGGGGCAAGGGGGCGTGTCAATATCACTAGCTGCGTTTACATGGACACTTATAATCGGATTGACGGTTCAATCGGACTAAAAACCCTTCATGTAAACACCTTAATCGATCCGATTGAGCTCGATCCGATTGAAATTTCGATCGGATTGAAAGGGGTGGTTTACTCCTTTTGTAATCCGATCGAGAGAACATGTAAACACTTGATCGGATTGAAAACCGAAACTAAAAGGACTGCGCATGTGCAATGACGTTGAAATAGCGTAATGACGTATGACGCGCGGAACGAGCTGTTCTTCCTGTTGAATAAAGTGAATATAAATGAGTGTTCCGTTATTAAAAAATTCTCATTTCACTCAGCGTCTGTGAAGTGAAGCAGGACAACGTCCCACCAGTGCTTGTTTCAGATTATCATCCATGCTCGACTGGTTTTGGGCGCGGGGTTTTACTGCGTGATCAATAAGCAGCACGGCAAAACGGTTCATGCTCATCGTCTCCAAATCATGACCAGAGACAGATAAATATTAAGTCTGCTGTTTAAAAAAAATAAAGAACCAATAGAGGAGAATAGTTATGCGCGAACAGCGGCATATTCGTGCAGAGTGCGCATGTCAAAAAATCAATTCCGATTTGAATCTTGTGACATAAACGCGCACATCAACCCGATTACTTTATTCATAGTTCAAGCTGCAGTCCGTAGCTTTTCCTCTTTGTCGCCATCTCTCTGTTCGAAATCTGTAACTGCAGTGATTCGCGGAATTATCATCTTTACGTGGGTTGTAAATCGGCATGAAACAGCGCGGATGAACACAGTGCTTGAGGCGAGTGCTGTTGTCACCGCGCTGTGTGGATACTGTCATACAGAATTACAGATTCACTTTTTGAAAGTTTGACCAACATAAGAATTTTCATAAGAAAATGTCTTCTGAACAAGTAAAATCCATTTTTGTTCTGACCAACTAAGGGGGAAAAAGCATTCGACATGATAAGCTTCGTTAGATTTAATCAACACGATTTACAGCAACCGTGCAAATTATAGCCTACTTTGTTCTCAAATTGTTCATGTTAACAACATCAGCATTGCGTGACTAATGTTAAATTTAATGTGTTTTATGGTTACCTGTGTAGTACAGAATTCATATTCTCCATAATAGCAAAATGAAAAAGGCACAACAAAGGAAACTCCATAACTGTGTGAATTAAGAAAACGTACTGTTACACGATTGAACTATTGAAATGTCTTACTTGTTCAGCAGAAAAAAGCCGTCTCTTCTTCCGTTTCGAACCCCTTCAAAACACGGAGTTCACGCACTTTTCAAAAGCCCCGCCGATGTTTAAATCCTTGTGTTCGCATGAGACGGTTTCTTTCTCTTTCTCTAGCCACCTTAAATCCGAAGTACGAAGTCTTTTGGGTTTTATAACTGCTGAATCTCCAGTTGACACTGATGATTGTTGTTTGGATCTTTCTGGATGCCATAATTATATATTGTTATCATATTGTTATTTGAACAGCTGAGCATTTAATTATGAAACAGGTGAAGAAACCTGTTTATTATTTATTCATTTGATTTTGCACCTGTTCACTGAAATAGCCGGTTTCAATAAAACTAGGCTACTTGTGACGTCATATTTGGCTTTGACTTTGACTGAACATTTGCTCTCACTTTGCGGAAAAAATATCAGGATATATATCGTATATCGATATTCGACCTAAATATATCGGGATATGACTTTTGGTCCATATCGCCCAGCCCTATTTATAATTGTCTTAGTTTGCACGGATTTGCACATTGCTGTTTTCCACACTTCACAAAAGAGCTGCATGATTTTGTTTTAAATAGATCACAATTATCTCGAGGTTCTGACAAAATATTAATTGATGCAGTTTATTTTAAAATATTTGTAAAAAACAGCTGAAATGAATTATTTGATGAGTTACTCATAAAAGTATTTGTTTCATTACTGGATTAATCAGTGTTTTTGAATTAATCTCTTATGAAAAAAAAATTTTTTAGCAGTCACTTGTTGCCACCTACTGGTGTAACAATGTAATTGATACAATCTTTGTTTGAAGCTATTTTCAAAAGGTGATTTATTCTAATTTGATCACTACCTTAGACATCAGTGTTTATATCCAACTATAAATGTTTATCCCAGTACTTCTGTGATAATTTGAATTATGGTAACAATTGGAATTGGAATAAGATTGCTTCAGTTTTTGAATCTAGATCACAATCTTTTAATGATTAATCTTGCAGCTCTCTACTTCAGATATTAAATGCATCACCGGCTTTGTAGCATGGAACAGAATTTTAGACCATAGAATTTCATGTTTTTTATGTACTAATAAAGAAACCAAATACAACGTATATACAACTAGAAAACACAACTTATCGAACTAAGAAAGAGAGCAACATTATCTAACAACTTATATAACTCCATTTTGTATTTTGCTACGAAACTGAAGATTTAATAAAATAAAATAAATCAGCGTGTCATTTTTGAACAGCTTGTTTTACATGTTCGAACAAACCGATTCACCGTCCTCAAACGATTTGGACTTTCCAAGGCGATACAATACAACACCAAAGTTTTGCACTGTTTTGAACAGTTGCTATTGCGCTACTAATGTAGTTAAGTTAGTAGCGTCGCTAGCTTGTTTGTTCCTCCCCAAAACGGCACGTAACTTTACTAGTTTATTTTAAGAGCGCGTTGTTGAGGTATGTGTGGATTACTGACAGGCAATCAGTGTGGCTGCCTCTCGGCCGGTGATAATGGGGTCCTGCTGCAGTGAGTCTCGCGCACCTCCCTTTCTCTCATCCAAACATGGCTTTACTGCGCGTTTGACCAATAACACGGGGCTCAAGGTGGCCCGTTAGCTTTGGACGAGCGTTTTTCAATGAATTCGCGAAGTCCCGTCCGTTTGTAGTCATTAGGGAGGCGCTGATAGGTGCGTGATCTCACTGTGCATTGTGCTGCTCATCGGGGAGGAAAGAGAAGATGCTCAGCGCTACGCGCATGTACTCGCGTCTCCCACAATGCGGCGGAGCGTTGTTTGTCTTATGCATCTTTATGTGCTAGCGATATGTTAGTATCAGGGCGCACTTTATTTGAATCGACTAGTATTTATGATAGTTTTGTCGGCCGTTCGAACGATCTAAAAGGGAATGAGAGTAAAGCAGTGACGCCTCGCCACGCGTGTCACTCCACTTTGCGGGATGAGCTCTGATATGTAGCTTCCAGCTTTAATTTAAACGGTCAATGATAAACTGTATTAGCAAGGTTATATAGATAACCCAGAATCCCTGATCCTTCTTTCTGGAGCTCTTGTTTGTTGTTAAAGCAGGCCTGTAATTGTTGCGAGTGTTTGTAGAGGTGATTGATCAATCTCTGTTTTGGCGGTAGTGGATATTGTAGGGTTTACAATACTCATGTGTGTTTCAGGATACACTGTTTCTTTTTAGGTATCTAAAATTATCATCTTTTCCCCCCACATCTGGAATTGACAGTGAATCTGACTGAGCAGATTAGGAACGTGTTCTTTTTAAGGTGTAACTTAAAGGGACAGTTCACCCAAAAATCGAAATGATGTCATCATTTATTCACTCTCATGTTTTAACCTGCATGACTTTTTTCTTACATGGAACAAAAGATGAGATGTTAGGCAGAATATTAACTCCAGTCACCATGCACTTTTCATTGCATACAATGAAAGTGAATGGTGACTGAGACTGTCTAACATCTCCTTTTGTGTTGAGGGTGAGTAAATGACTTCTCATTCCTTTAAATTCCAAAAACACCTTTACTGTGGGGGCTTTTTACTGTGGCTTTTGCTAATTTTAATGACTTATAATATTTACATACCACATTTCCCCCTGTTCTCTTTGCTCCTGTCTTTCTTAGAAGTGAGGTGAAGGAGGCTGTCATGGCGGAGCCTGAGAAGGTTCCAGAGGGCAGTGAGGAGGTAAGAGTGCAGAGTGCTAGGCTGACCCATCTCTACCGTTCGGCAGATATCCTCCACATAAAGAGGCAAACAACATTTTATAAAGGGCTGTCACCCTTCCCCCTTATTCAATCCAAATTAATTATTACAGGTATATGCAGGCATTACTAAGCACTTGCATGTAGTTAAAATATGGTCACATTCTAATTTAGAAGCTCTGTTTTGTTTGTCCTCTTTGTGGTCACAGATGATGTTTTGTGAACCTTTGCTGAATCTGTCATAGACAGAAACAGCAGGGGGCACTCTGTCACTTTGGCTAATGTTTAAAACCCCCTTGATTGCTTTGTTGTAAAGGTGCTCATGACTCTTCCATTGCCCTTATTGGTACCTGCATACAACTACTACTACTTCTACTACAGCACCTGTTCCACTGTCTCCAAGTGCCATGGCTTTACCTGATAAGCCTTGAGTCTGCTCTGAAGTGCAACACACCTGGCAAAAATGGCCACATTTCCAGAATGGCGTTGGCTGGAAGCATCTGTTGATTGGACTGATAATGAAAGGCTGTGTAATGTGGGTTTGACGAATCGCTGAGTGTCTCATGAGCCTGTGTCAGTTTGGCTCAAGATGGCGGCAAGTGTGGAAAAGTTGTAAGAAACCGTAAGCGGATACATGGACTTCTTTCAGGACTGTTTGATGTGACTTTGTTTGCTTTAAATGGAGACGCTTTCCAGTGATTGTTCCAGTTGCTCGCTATATCATGGGACTAGTTTTTCTGTTTATCCTGCAAAGAAAACATGTTTTCTTAATTCCCAAGGAAACGTTGGACTCTTATCATTGCACTACTGCCTTGACGGCTGGATGTGCCGGATTTTACAGCTTTCTCATTTTCCTGTGGACTATCACAATCAAACTTAACTGTTAGTTTGAAAATGGACTCTGTTTTGTGGCTGCTTGACTGAAACCCCTTCATTCAGCCTGAACAGACAAAACCATGTGCAATTGTGGAGCTTCACAAATATATCGGACGAGAGATTGAAGTGCCTTGGCAATCTAAAAACATTTCGCAGCAGTTTGTTTGAAAGACTCCACTTACGTTCCAGTTTCATGCCAATACGATGGACTTAAAAAAAGACACTCAGAGCCTCGCAAACTCTACGCACGTTGTTCTACGTGAGCTCTTCTGCCATCCAGCTCTCAGATCTCTGCCCAAACTTCCCAGCCTTCTTTCATTGGACTGTTGTTTCCTAGATACAGTACATACAGACGTGCGATTGGGCCATTCCCTACCCAGTGAAGAACATGTCAATGGTACCGGGAAATAAGTAGTCATTCTCCATTTTCTACTTTAAACATTTTGCCTAGACAATGCAAATATTTGCCCAGACTCCCTGGTAACCCTAAAATGGAGCTATTGACTACAGGATAAAGAGTAGATGTTTATATGTGATTCTGGACCACAAAACCAGTCACATGGGTCAATTTTTTCTGAATAAATAAGCTTTCCATTGATGTATGGTTGGTTAGGATAGGACACTATTTGACCGAGATAAAACTATTTGAAAATCTGGAATCTGAGGGTGCAAAAAAAATCTAAACATTGAGAAAATCGCCTTTAAAGTTGTCCATTTATGTTTGTGATTTTGCTGCATTCACTCACAAAAATAAATGTTTTATATATTTACGGTAGGATATTAACAAAAATATCTTCATGGAACCTGATCTTAAACTTAATATCCTAATGATTTTTGGCATAAAAGAAAAATCGATAATTTTGACCCATACAGTGTATTGTTGGCTATTGCCACAAATATACCCGTGGGACATGTGACTGTTTTTGTGATCCAGGGTCACATATGTAAGGCCACTTCAGAGCTAATGTAAAGCAGTGCTTTATTTTAATTCCACATTACAGTAACTACCTAAAAGGATATTTCAACCCGAGGGGTGATAGATAACTGCAGCATAGCCTTTAAGAAAGTATTTTGGGGTAAGAGAGGACAAGACCGCATCTTCAGAGCAGAAATAGACCTTTGAAATAGTCAGAAGACCTCTAACCACATAAAGAACATGTACACAGTGTGTGTGTGTATACTGTGACTGAAGAGGCGGTCTTTCCTAATAGATTTCCTTTTATTTCTTTAATCGATTACTTGTTGATGGCTCATTCTATTTTGGTCTATATTTGTCATTCAGTCTTATTATCTCCCTCATGCACATGCACATTCCCCCCCCCCCACTGTGAACCTGTTGGTTTTCCCTATTTATTCTATCCATCTCACCTTTTCCCCTGGCTTGGATGTGTTTATTCTCTTTCAGAGCACCACGCTAAAGACCTTCTCGGCCCGAAAGATTTCTCTCGGCAGTAAGTATTTCCACAGGTTTCCCCTTGAGTGATTAATTTGGATAGATCTTTCACTGTATTCACTGTTGGAATAGTTTTTGGTTGGTAAGACTTTTAAGAAAAATTCTCAGCAGGGACGCATTTATTTAATCAAAAATACAGTACAAACGTTTAAAGTAAAATTATTGCTATTTAAAAAAGTATTTTTTTCTATTTTTATATAATTTATTCATGTAATGGCAAAGCTGAATTTTGAGCAGCCTTTACTTTAGTCTTCATCATTCTAATATGTTGATTTAGTGCTCAAAAATGTTTCTTATTATGTAAATGTTGAAAACAGTTCTTCTACTTAAAAGGATAGTTCACCCAAAAATGAAAATGACTCACCCTGTTAATTTACTCACCCTCAGGCCATCCATGATGTAGGTGTCTTTCCCCCCCCTTTTTTTCAGTAGAACAGTAAAGAAACTGTGGTCCTTTGTGATTTCATAAAATACAAGTCAATGGCTATCGTTAATTTTAAGGTGTCAAAATAACATATACAGGCAAAACAAAATGAACACCTGTGGCTCCTGACGATACATTGAGGTCTTATGAAGGCGAAATGATCCGTCTGTGCAAGAGGCTGAATATTATTTACAACATTATTACCTGTAACCCACAGCCTTGGCAAACGGTCCTGAGCGTGTTCACGGCACTATGGAGCGTAAGCTTCCTGTCGCATTATTTCCTGTCCACTAAAATTTTCTAATTTTCATTTTTGGGTGAATTATCCCTTTAATGTTTTTGTTGAAACCTTGATCATTTTTGTAAAGATTCTTTGAATAGAATGTTCAAAAGAACAGCATTTATTTGCTAGTGGAAAGCATTAACAAAATTATAAATGTCTTTTTGTTTTTGAGCAATTTAATGCATCCCTGCTTAATACAAAAAAATAAATAAATACAAAAATCTCACTAACCCAAAACTTTTAAACAGTAGTGTATGATTTGACAAGAGTTTTAATAACACACAATGTTTATAAGTTTGAAATAAATAAAAAATGGCTATATGCTTGCTATCTTCAGGCAGCAAACCGTCTCCTGGGGTGGTGAGTTCGGAAGGGGAAGCGGAGACCGCAAGCGGTGCTAGTGCTGGCAGGAAGAGAAGATGGGGCTCCAGTACAGCTGTCACTGCCAAGAAACCCTCCATCAGTATCACCACAGACTCTTTGAAGGTCAGAGAAATATAAAATAAAAATGAGTTTGAAAGATTATTTAATGCAGAAAAATGTCTCTCCCAAAAGTCTATTCCTGTCTTGCTTCATTGGATGAACAGTGAACGGTGCCATAATGCAATCCTCACTCTTTACAGTCTTTAATACCAGACATCAAGCCTAGCTTGGGTCAAGAGGCTGTGTTAGACCTGCATCCAGAGGAGATTCATCTCTCTGGGGAAGACGAAGGAGGAGAGAGGGGTGACCAAGAGCTGAAAATTAGACGAACTGTAACACAGGTGTGTGTTGTCCTTCTGCTGTAAGTGAAAGTGTGTTTGATTGCTTACATGTGTTGGAATAACATTTTGGTAAACACAACAGGTTGTGCCCTCTGACACACAAGAGAATGGACAGAAAGAAACCAAAAGAAGTGAACATGAGGATGAGGAAGAAAGAAGTGAAGGGCGGGATAGACTTAACCAGGAGGAAAAAATGGAAGGCTCCAATCAGGTTTCCATGGAGACAGAGCCGTTGTCCCCTTGGCCAGATGTAGATATGAAGACAGGTGAGAATTACAGAAGGAACCAATTCAAATTTATTAGGGTGCTCCGATTGTCATTATTGGTTGATAATTGTTTTATATAATTTGATCAGTGGTTTTTATAAAGGCTGTTCAGATGACGCAAAACTCGCAAGACAATTTTTTTTAAATTAACTTAGCTTTTAAAGGAGGGGGATCTTGAGTAATTGTCTCTGTATGTTGGAACGATAATGTTATTGGCTATTTGTGTTTAGGCATGTTAAAGGGTCACTTCACCCATTTGCATTAAGGTTTGTATTGTTAGAAACCCAGTCATATGTTATAATGATGGTGGAATTTTGCTTGTTTTTTTTCTGAGATGGGAGAAAAAAGGATTTAAGTGTTTTACTTCCGTCCTATCGTGACGTAAATATCGTCATTTTGCGTCACGATAGGACGGAAGATAAATTTCATTGCATATTAAGAAAACTACAGCCTTTAGCTCATTATTATTCAAGGGCGTGGGACCCACTCACCCCACCGGCCTATTACAGATCAGTGGGTGGGACTAAACCTGAAGAAACTAAACTATTAATCCGCCATCTTGCTTGGAAGACAGCAAGCTAAGCTAACAAGCGCTCAAGGAGTTAGATTTATCATAATGCCTGTTTTTACGACACACGATATGGAAGACGAGGATTTTGAAAATCTTTTGCTCGAAACTGATGTTCGTGGCTATTTAAACGAGCCACAATATAGTGAAGAGCAGCTGAGGCTGATGGAGGAACAGGAGGCGGACGAGGAGCCCGGGCTGGCTCGAGCTGGGCGGACTGCTGGTCCCTGTGCTCTCGCTGTGCGCTACGGACACAGATAGAGTCCGTCTGCTGTAGAGAATTTCAACGATGGCAATTTCTCCTGGACGAAATCTCTGAATCAGACGAGCACACGGACGTTTGTGTTGTGATGTGAACCATCCTCGTGTCGCACCGCATGTTCTGACTGAACCAGGTATCATGCAATAATTCACCATATAGAAAGAAATACAAACGAGGAGTAATTCGCTAATGAGTTTGCCAATGTAACGGGGTTCGTTGTTGTGGGAAGAATGAGGCGGGAACCGGCAAACATTTAAACATTTTAATAGTAAAATAAACAAATACAAAACAAAAGTATAAGCCAGCAGCCCCTCACTGCTGGCCACACACAACAGAAACAAAACACAACATAAAATCAGGCCTGTTCCTCACTCGATCTGCCCTGTCGTCGCTCCTCGTTTTATGCGTCCGCTCCTCGGTGAGAGACGCGAAAGAGACCGGTGCGTCTCACCGGTGTCGTTCATTATCACTCACGCCACCGGCCTCGCGCCGCTCTCACGTCCCTCGTCCTGCTCGCCACAGCCAACTAACTATACATTTTGTGTGAAATGAATTTCTAACTCTGGTGGCAGCTAACGTTAGCCTTGTAGACGGAAGAGTGATTTGTGATGTTTGCGCTGCTGTTCTGGATTAGTGGGAGTGGCTTGCGGAGCTGTGCAATGTGGTGCATTGTGGGAGTTGTTGTCTTACATACAAATGCGCCCAAAAGTTATTTTCTGTCTTTTCTCGGTCAAGAGGGCACCAAATTCAAAATTTCTTTTACATTTCGACTACATATATGACCCACTTTCAATAAAGATTAATGTTGAAATGGGTGAAGTGCTCCTTTAATTGTTATTGGTATTTTTATTATATTGCTCCTTAACTTTTATTATTTATTTACTTATACACTCTTCTAAAACAATTGTTAAGCACTATGGACAAAGTTGTTTTTGCCATATAAATAAGTTGAAATTGAAGTAAAATTGCTTCACTGCAGTTTTACCAGATGAGGTAGAACTCATCTGTTGTTTTTTTTTTTTTTTTTTTTGGGAGGGTGGGAGGTTGTGCATTTCTTTTTTCTTCATAGCGGTGCACTTTCGTTCCTCCCTAAAAACCCAAACTTAACATCCAAATCAGCTAAATCGGTGATTGTTGTAAAATATAGTTTACTGCTGCTAAACTGCAGGACATGCTCGATAATAAAGAGTTAATTAAACTGCAGTCATATACATTTGATTAGCCTACTTTCTGTTCATAAAGACTGTTTTATTATTTATTTATTTTATTACTACTAATTTCACTGGAAAGCTGTGTTTGTTAAACTCTTAAGCTGTTCCTAATCACCTCTAAGAGAGTTAATGGAACATGTTGCTTGCCAATAAATAAAAAGTTGTCAATTCATTTATACTTTCTAATCTTATCTTTCTTAAATTTCTTCTAATTTTAATGCTTAACATACATTGTTAAGAATAGCTAAATAACTGCCATGGGTCTATTTGAGGCCTTCTATTTATGTAGTAGTAGTATTTATTTCGGTGATCGGCCCCAAAAGTCCTGATCGGAGCACCCTTACAACTTTTAAGTGCAGTATTGTGAAATTTAAGTTTTGGATAGAAAAATCTGATATGGTGTTCTCAGCCTTTTCTCCTGTTTTTTCCCCCTGCTTAGTCGCTCCCAGTGACACACTAATTCGTCGTTCGATTAGTCAGCAAAAGTCGGGAGTGAGTATCACCATTGATGACCCGGTCCGCACAGCCAAACAACCCTCTCCTCCTCGTGGCAAGCTGTCTAACATTGTCCATGTCTGCAACCTGGTACGTATACACACACACACACACACACACACACACACACACACACACACACACATTGATGATTCTGGAAATGTTTTAATAAGCTAAAGATGCTACATGCATACAGTTTTAGCTGTGCCCGTGTCATTGTCCCAGGTTTAGTGACCTAAGACTTGCTTTGTGATGTTTCTAAGGTGAGGCCGTTTACCCTGGGGCAGCTGAAGGAGCTGTTGAACCGCACAGGGACTTTAGTGGAGGAAGGTTTCTGGATTGACAAGATAAAATCTCACTGTTACGTCACAGTAAGTCTCTTCCCTGCATCCCGCTGATTTGTTTCTTTTTTTCATACCTGCTTACCCTTTCACCATCTTTGCTTTCACTCAGTACTCAAATGCAGAAGAGGCGATGGCCACTCGTACAGCATTACACGGGGTTAAATGGCCCCAGAGTAACCCAAAGTTCCTCAGTGTTGACTTCTGCATGCAAGAGGAGGTTAGTTTTTTTTTTTTTCATCTGCTGAATTTTATATATATATATATATATATATATATATATATATATATATATATATATATATATATATATATATATATATATATATATATATATATATATATATATATATATATATATTTTATTTTTTATGTGAAAACTAATTCCCTTTCATTCCTGGTACATCTTATCAGGTGGACTTCCACAGGGGTTTGGGTCCAGCAGGAGAAAAGCCACCAGAGGAGCCCCGTGGGGCGGCAGCAGCTGGACCTGGCCGTCCGGTACCCCTGCCTCTCCTGCCGGAGCGTGACCAGTGGGCAGAACGAGAGAGGGAAATGGAAAGGAGGGAGAAATCGCGTGCAGAAAGGGAATGGGACAGAGATAAGGTGAGGGACTTCAGCAAACCCGGAGAGGAAGCTGGCGCCAGAAGATCACGTTCACGAGATCGTGAGAGGAGGCGCAAGGAAAGAGGGAAGAGCAAAGAGAGGAAAACCGATAAGAAGGGTGAGGAAAATTTTATCTTTTTTTGCAGTATAGTAAATTATTATTATTTGATATTTAAATAAATTAAAATAATACATGTTTTATTATTTGTTAATTTTTATTTAAATTTGTAAATATGTATTATATAAATTATACTTATTTAAATCGATTACCATTATTATTTGTAAACTTAAATATCTTAAATGTATATGTTGTATAAATATTTTATATTTATAATTATATATATAAAAAAAAAATCTTTTTAGAAAAAGGACCCGAAGAGCCACCCGCTAAACTGCTGGATGATCTCTTCCGCAAAACCAAAGCTGCTCCATGCATATACTGGCTCCCCCTCACTGAGGAGCAGGTACATTTCTTTGCACATTTTAGTTACTTATAAAGTGGCAACGGTAAGGGAAAAAACTGATTTGATAATACAGTGGTACTCATTACCCACCGCACTTTGAATTGCAGGCCGCACAGAGGGTAGCGGCTCGTGCCGAGCGCATGAGGGAAAGAGAGAAGAGGTGGAAGGAGATGGAAGAGGAGGATAAGAAACGTGAGGAGGAGCACCGGGAGAGGATGAAGACCAGCGGGGCAGCCGGAGGGGACACTGAGAGAGACCGAGACAGAGGTCGAGAGAGGGAGCGAGAGGGGGACAAACGGAAGGAGGGATATCGCAGGCCTGGCGGAAACAGTGCAAGCGGGAGCAGGAGGTCCCGAAGCCGCAGCGGCCCTCTGCCCAGAGATCGACGACGCTAGGAGAAGTCTGGAACAGTTCCGTTTGTAACCCCTGTTCTTGTATGTGCTGTAACAGCTCTATGCCTACCTTCCTGAGGACCAACTCAGACTTCATACAAACACACACATGCACACACACTCTGCGTAAAGACACACGGGTGCACACACACACATTGGGACCACGGTGGTGCTGTGTCTCCATATAGACTCGTCTCAATGTCTTTTGACTGGGCTTAAAGACTCCTGGTGTTCATTTCCCCTCCTCAGTGTTAATGGACTTCTGGTATAAGTGGGTCGGACTGCAAGACATTCTCCAGGTTTGGTGACGTCCTCTTTCTCCTTCAGTGTAACGTCAACACAGATCTGAAAGAGTGAAGCTGTGTTCAGAAAGAGATGCTCTGAAAGGCTTTAGTGTCACTTACATTTTCCTCTTCTGTTTTCCTCACATTCCTTGTATCCTTTTTCCCTTCTATTGTCTGCCTTTTATGACACCTTTGTTTTTACCAGGTTGCCATGGATAATGGGATGCATATTTAACCTTTTCACATTTGGTTTTTAAATTTTTTATTGTTTTAGCATAAAGCTTAATTTTGTTTTCTTTTAATTTTTTGTTTACTCCTGTAAGTGCTGAATGTACAAATAATAAAAAGGTTACATCTAAGGACTGGAAAAAAAGTTCTTTGTCAGTTCTTGTAGGTGGTCAACTTGGACCATTTATCTGGAGTTTATCTGCAGATTTGCGCTACATCTACACGTCTGTTATGTGTCTAGATCCCTCTGAATATAATCAGCTGAGCTGTGCACATGGCATGCACCCAATGCAGTTGACCCATGTCCCACTTTTATTTTCAAGTTTATTCAGCCACTTGATTTTCCAGTTTGTCAGAAGGAAAAAAAATTGCAGATTTTATAAAAGGATTTCTATGAATTTCATTCCCTAGGCTTGGTTACGTCAGAGAAAGTCAGTGATGCTTCTAGTCTCTGGACATAGCAATGTATTTTTCAAAAATTAAGTATGGAATGGGGATACCCATTCACCATTTCACTGTTGCTGAAGTCCAGGCTCGAGCTCACAGCTGATTGGTTTGTTGGTGAACAAGGGGACACTTCCATTGTGAACAGTGTTGCTGGCCAGCTTGAATCCTTCAGAATGTTAGATCTGCTCTCAGCAAATGGTCTTCTGGTGTTTTATGTCTGTTATAGCATTTTTCTGTTAGTTTTATTTTGAATGTGAATAGCTGCAATCAGCAGTGTCAAGTGTGTTGTGAGGGCATGAACTGTTAAGATCACGTATTTGACTTGGTATTACAATTTGTTGACGTTTTGCAATGTCCAAGTCGTTCAAGAATGATTACATTATGTGTGAACTAACGATGAACTTTATTTAATGTAGGTTGTTAATTTCAAAATAGATTAATGTTATTGATATGTTCATACATTTAATGTTAATTTGCACAAATGTAAATATAAAAACGTATTCGTATATTTAGACGTTAATGTTAACCTAAATTTGAATCATGAATCAGGATTCTTTGATGAATAAAAAGTACAAAGAACAGCATTTATTTAAAATATAAATCTTTTGTAGCAATACATCTTTACTGTCACTTTTCATCAATTTAATTAATGCATCCTTGCTGAATAGAAAAAAAATTGTACTGACCCCAAACCTTTGAAATGTAGTGTAAATACTAATACTGTTAACAAATTGAACATTAAGTATTTTAACAGTGCATAGCAAGAGCCTAAAGGACTATCATAATTCAACACACCACAAGGAGGCAGGCTTTCCACAAATCTAAATCTTGTTTAAGTCTTGTTACATGCTTCTGCCTCACTGCCCTTTTAGTCCTGAAGGTTAAAGCAGCTCCTTTACCTCAATTTTAAGCAACAAAACCTTGCTGATGTCTGTATAGGCTAATGTAATTGTGTTCCTTATGCAGCTCGTGATTGGTTGTGTGACGAGGAAGGTCTTTTGTTATAGTTCCAAACTCATTATCTCTGAAACCTATTGTTGTCTGGTTACGTATTGCACACGAGCAGGTAAATATAATGCCTCAAATGTTTACACCCTGTCTGTCTCAACTCCCACCCTTCTATTTTTATTGCATTGTTAGCTGCTTCCTCGCTCAGTTACTTAGTCTTCCCTCCTCTCTCTCTCTCTCTCTCTCTCTCTCTCTCTCTCTCTCTCTCTCTCTCTCTCTCTCTCTCTCTCTCTCTCTCTCTCTCTCTCTCTCTCTCTCTCTCTCTCTCTCTCTCTCTCTCTCTCTCTCTCTCTCTCTCGCTTCCCTCCATCCCTTTGCTCCGTCGTTGACGTCCTTCCTGTCGAGCTCAGCAATGGTCCTCTGTAATTAGCACCCTGGTGGCTGAGTGGAGCATTTTTCCGGCCTGATGCAATGAACACACTGCATAGGGCAGCTGAACTGGGTCGACCCTCCCGTGCCCACACACAGCCCAGCCCAGCCCCGCTCCACTTCTGTGACCTACAGTTCCTTCTTGTAAGTTTGTACTCTAGATACTTTAAGAGGAATTACTTAGAGGAGTCTTTTGCAGTTGTTACATTTCTTGATTAAGTCGCTTTGTACTTAAAGATTTGCTGTTAATTTACCCTCAGGCCATCCAAGATGTAGGTGACTTTTTTTTTGTTCTTAAGTAGAACAGTAAATAAGATTTTTAGCTGAAACCGTGGTCCTCTGTGATTCATATAATGGAAGTCAATGGGTTTCATCCAAAAAAACATGTCAGACTAAACAAAATTAAAACCTGCGGCTACTGACGATACATTGAGGTCATTGAGGTAAGTATCCTACTTGAAATCCATTTCCCAGAGTTCCTTTTTGTTGGGAGTTTGTGTGTGTCAGACGGACTCTGGGATTAGGTAGCACTTGTTGCATCATTTTTTCAGAAGTTTCGAATTGAGTCACGTTTCTTTTTTTTTTGTTCTTTTTTTTTTTGGCCAAAACAAGTTCAGAAGTGGGTTTGGTTATCAGTGCAGCGGTGTACAGTAATTCACAAACCACACGGGCAGTTGAACCATATATAGGGCACATGGGAAGGGAAAAATGTCCTAAAGGAATATTCCATGTTCAGTTCAAGCTGTCGACAGCATCTGTGGCATACAGTCGAATACCAGAGATTTACTTTGGCTTGTCTCTGATTTTATAAAAACAAGTAAAAGTTGTGTTTACAGTAATGCATTTACAATGGAGGTTTATGGGGCATGGCATTTACCCAAAATGCTACTATACTGTGTATAGCACACTACTTAAACTTTCCCTAAACACTACTAACTTTGTCTAATCAAAGTAATATACAATTGTTCAATTCCTGTTATGGCTAATGCTTGTAAACCCTAAACTTTTGCTCCATGTGCAAGGATACCAGAAAGTACATACATAGAAAATCCACACGCATAATTGAGTCTATAATATATAACCAGATGTTTATTCACCTAGAGCATTACTGCCAGTGCTAAAAGGATGATTTAAACAACTTTATCGCCACAATAACAATTTGTACAGAAGAGATAAACATAAGCTCTTAAATACAAATACTAATTGCCCCCCTGTACTTCTATTTTTAAGATATTACTGTTGAAGCATACATTTTTTACAAGCCGAGGAGGGGAAAAAACTCCTCTAAATAATAAAAGAAAATTACCAAATCTATATTCTCCATATGACAACAGTTCAGACCTGTCTATCAAGCTCCAAAAAAGACAAAATCATTAAATAAAAAAATTGAAGCCTAGTCCAAATGACTTAAATTCACTAATGTTATTCCCTTTCAATGAAGTTCACAATTCTTACAAGATTAAATTTAATTGTCTCCAGGATTCTTTTGCATTGGTTCAGCTTTTTTTAAGCTGGACAGCTCTAGTCACTATAAACTGTCACTGTATGGACAAACGGTGCATGTACATTCTTCCAAATGTTTTTTTTTTTTTTTTTACTTCTGAAATAAGAGCATGCAGGTTTGGAAGGATATGAGAGTGAATAAATAATGACAGAATTGTAATTGTTGGGTGACCTATATCCCTGTAACTTCTTTTGAACCTGAAAAAAAAAAAAAACTTCAAGTAAAGCAGGGAGAAGAACAACTGTGCATTTTGTCCTAAATCTTGTCCAGGTCGGGTAATGTAAGGATAGCATTATATCCCCCACTGCCCTGGCCCTCAGATCAGGCTATAGTACCACATCCTGTCAGTCCTGTGATAACTGCTGATGAATGAGCAGTGTAAACAGATTTTAAGCAATCTTCAGCAGATGCCCCCTTCCCACCGCACTGCCTTTTGTGTCCAGCAGTTGGAGAAACTAACCACAAGGCTCCTTTTTCAAAGCCCCCCTCTGATGTGGCATCTTAGAACTCTTTCTAACCTCCTTTCTTTCTCTCACTACCCCCAAAGCCGCTTGGTTCAAGCTGTAAAAACTTGAATTCTTCATGCAAAAATTCTGCTTATAGCACAAAAGCTGGAAACCGCTGCTTTTCAGACGTTTCACGAACACGTTTAGAAAGAATCAATGTAAACCTTCTTGTATTTGTGCATGTTTGTCATCCGTTTCCTTCGCTTTAAGTTCGACTTTGATGTCATAGATTTATATATGAGAACCATATGTGGTTTAGTGTTGGAGGAGGGGCGACTGGATCTAATGCAAGTCAACCTGACGAGAATAGAGGGAGCACTGGGGGAAAAAAAAGGAAATATTAAATACAGACAAGGAGGGGAACATATACCTCATGCTTCTGATGTGGCAGTCCAGTCATTAAAGTCATAAGGTGAAGAAAGAGTCCAGTTAACTGTTGCAGGCCTGAACTGAAGCAGGGGGGTTTCCTGGAGGATGTGACTGGGTCAGAGTGAGGGTAGCAGGGTTTGGTGCTGTTGGTAGGGTGGGGGAGGGTAAAAGACTGATTCAGCAGCTCCTGGTGGGGAGTCTTTTCCTGCCCAGTTTGGAAGTGTTTACCTTTTAAAGAAGGAGGGAAAGAACCAACACTATGAGTTTAGAGATGTTGATTGTTTTACTTCCTATAACCTGTTTTTTCCCCCACATTCTCCTGTCTGGAACAGCGGGGAAAAACTACTCACACCACACCCTGTCTTAAGTGTAGACGGTATGTGTTTCCCATAGCTCAACACGTTAATGCAGGTGCCTCTTCTTTTATGCACATTTCTAGCACACTCAGCATTACCTAACTAGATTTATTCTGTACTGGCATGTAAGAAAATGCAAACTCTCAAGAAAAGAAGTATATTGTGTTTGATTAGTAACGGAACATATATGATGTGTTTGCATTGATGGTAGCTGGAATATGTTCTAGGTAGAATTTTTTTAATGTTTTTTATTTATGTATAGAAGTCTCTTATGCTCACCTCCAAGGCTGCATTTGTTTGGTTAAAATAGAGTAAAAACATTAAAATGACAATTACTATTTTCTTCTATTTTAATGATTTTAAAATTAAATGTATGGTGACGGTTGTATTTTCAGCAGTCTTCAGTGTCACGTGATCTTCAGAAATCATTCTAATATGATGATTTGGTGCTCAAGAAACATTTCTTCTCAATGTTGAAAACAGTTGTGTTTGCTTAATATTTTTTGTAGAAACCGTGATACATTTTTCAGAATTCTTTAATGAATAGAAATATCAGAAGAACAGCATTATTATGTAACATATAAATGTCTCTCTTTTGATCAATTTAATCTTTCCTTTCTGAATAAAAGTATTAATTTCTTTCAAAAAACATCTTACTGACCGCAAACATTTGAATTGTAGTGTTCATATAAATGTATTTAGAGAGATGAGTTTGCCAAATTTCATTGTAGCTGTTGTATGTAGGTGTTAAAGCCCATTGGAACCGAATGACTTATGATTTGCTGCTTTATGGCTTGATGAAATTAAAACCATGTGCATCCTACATTAAGACTATTTTCTTATGTTAATTTACATCCTGTACAGGATTTAAAGTTACAGGCTGTGGAAAAACATGTGTTTGCATTTAGGAGCATCACATTCACATGGCCCATATTAATTCCACATTTACCCGTAACATCGGAATCTTTTACTTCCATCACTATTAACAGATCCTTTTAAGTCTGATAACCTTAAAATGGTTCGCATAATGGCTAAAAATCTCTATTGTGGTCCAGGTTTATTTTGTTTTCCCTGCAAAGATTAGAATTTTGTTTCCTTTTCTCTCTCTCTTCATTAAAGAGGTAAAATAGCCAAGATGCCCCTTTGGCTATTTAACCTCTTTAATAAAAAATAATAATAAAAAATTATTTCAGGGTTATTGTATGAAAAGAAAGTTTCCCCCCCCACTTCAAAGTCTGTCTTTTCGCATTAGGCTTGGAAAGAGGAATTCTCTCCATAAGGAAAGAACTGGACGCAGCCTGTCAAGTAAGGGTGTTAAATAGCATGTAACCGACTTCATTCGAACTGGCAGAGCACTGTGAAGACGTAAAATGGGTCACAAAGAGCAGGCAAGTCTCCCAGAGACCTTCAAAAAAGAGAGAATGTGTTTTAAGAGAGAGACTTGAAATGTTTGTGGTGATACTAATGTTTTCAGTTAAGCCTTGTTTAAGAAAAAAAAAAAGTGAGTCACTTAGCAGAAACTGCAGGAAACTCAACTCTTCTTGCCTGGAGAAAAAGAGAGAGAGAGAAATGGAGGGAATTGTGGGCAGAGCAGAAAGTGCTGAGGTTGTTCTTCGTACTGCAGAATCAGCTGGGAAAAGATTGAACTTGCTTAAAATGTGTGCACAGAGTGAAATAGATTGAGCACTCGTGTAGCAAGATACTCTCTGGCTGAAATACATACACAAGTCAGTGCCTTTAGGAACAATTCATCACAAATACTTTATACATCTTTGAGGGCCTGTCATTGGGTATCTTATTAGATTGCAATGCACATTTATGTTTTGACATGTCTGATTGAAAAAAAAAAGATCAAGATCAAAGATCATTTGTATTACATCAACAGTGTGTGCACAGATAAGCCGTGTTTTCCTCTCTCTCCTGCAGTGTGCTGGTATTAAAGGGATAGTTCACCCAAAAATTCTGTCAGTAATTACCCACCCTCCCATAAGACCTTCGTTCATCTTCGGAACACGAATTAAGATATTTTTGATGAAATCTGAGAGCTGGATCACTCCTCCATAGGCTTCTTCAGGGATTGAACTTGCCGGCCTCGAAAAGTTATTAAAGACATCGTTAAAATAGTCCAAGTGACTACAGTGGCTCAATCGTACGTTTATCAAACGACGAGAATACTTTTTGTGCGCAAAACCCCCCAAAAATAACGACTTTATTTCAACTATTAATTTCCTTCTCTGTGGGCCTCGAGTCAGTTCACTAGTGTAACAGCGTACGCTTCTATTGTTGTACGTCACACGCATCACCCACATGACCAGCGTCGGCCAATAGTGAGCCTACGTGTGACGTAGCTCTACGCAATTACACTAGTTTAACTGACTAGAGGCCCAAAGAGAAGGAAATGAATAGTTGAAATAAAGTCGTTATTTATGTTTGTTTTTGCGCACAAAAAGTATTTTCGTCGCATGATATACTTTAGATTGAGCCACTGTAGTCACTTGGACTATTTTAACGATGTCTTTAATAACTTTTCGAGGCCGGCAAGTTCAATCCCTGAAGAAGCCTATGGAGGAGTGATCCAGCTCTGAGGTTTCATCAAAAATATCTTAATTCGTGTTCTGAAGATGAACGAAGGTCTTACGGGGTTGGAACAACATGAGGGTGAGTAAATACTGACAGAATTTTCATTTTTTGGTGAACTATCCCTTTAAGGCAGTTTGGATTCCAGATGTTGTTGATGGAATTCTCCTTGATCGTTGGCCTCCGAACGTCCGCCTCCTGAAAGCCTTGTGACTGGACCCAGAGTGCCAAAACATTATCCATCTCCTGACTCTTATTCCAAACAGCAAATACATACGGCACATTGGCACATTAACACATTGAATTGAGTTTCAACTCTGATTTACATGTATGATTTTTCCTCAATCAGTATCTGGAAGTGTAATTATTCTCAAAGACGCACACGCTCGCATTACAACAGAGATATGTTTCCTTGTGAACAGTGCCAAAGGGGTTTGCAGAATTATAATCATTCCTGGTTTCGCTTAATCCTTGGACCTAGCCTGCTTTTTCCATCCCATTTATATGGCCAAGTGTTTCCGAGTGCCAGCAAAAGGGAGGAGAAAGAAGTATGGACTGAAATGACAAGAAAAAAGGTAGTTCTATGCAAAAGAAATAAGCTTATGTGGGGGCATCAAACTGTATGTGTGAAAGAGCAGGATGTTTGTCTTATTCTGTGGTCATAACTTGAGGAGCAAAATGAGATGCGCTAATGCGAGATATGTTTCTTACAGGGAGTTAAAGAGCAGTTCGGAAAATATGGCTAAGGAAGGCAAGAAGTCTTGGAATCGGATGCAGGTTAAGAGGAGCAGCTGGAGATTAGGACACAGAGATGCATTTCCCTTCCCCTCGCTGTTGTGCAGGAGAGTGAGTGGGCTAAACAAACACGTTAAAGCCATAGTTCACCCAAAAATAAACAATTCTGTCATCATTTACTCACCCTCATCTTGATTCAAACATGTTTGACTTTCTTTCCTCTGCAGAACACTAAAGAAGATATTCTGAAGAATGTTTTGGTAACCATTGACTTCCATTATAAGGAAGAAAAACACTGGGACATTTCTCAAAATCTCAAAATTCTCGGTGTTCCACAGAGGAAACAAAGTCATACAGGTTTTTTTTTTTTTGGGTGTGTAAGACATTTGAACAGAATTTTTATTTTTGGGTTAGGCATTGAGCTATGACTATGAGATATGTTTTAAAACAACATAGAAAGTATAAAAAAGAAAAATCTGACAGCAAAGAAAACTTACAAAATATTTTATTTTTGACTTAAACATAAAAAAAGGTTTGAAACAAGCACAATTTATTTTTAGATAATGATCATCATCATTTAAATATTATTATCATTATTGTTTTTTTTAATCCAACTTTAAAATTCCAATTTAAAAAAGCTCCACAATTTATCAATAATTGTAAACACAAGCAGTGAAAATGTTATTTTCATATTAAAATTTTTATTTCATTTCAAAAATACAAACCCACCCATTCACTTTCCCCCAAATTAAGGCCACTTCATAAGACATACATTATTGCCTGTCCAGCAGGACATTTTTAATGACAATTGTTAAAATAAAATAAAAAAAACACATTCTTGACACGGAGAACAATAACAATAGTAATAATCATAATGATACTGACATCATCATTATCAATAATAGTAATTATTTGAAATACAGTACAATATAAAGCCATACTACTGAAGGACACAGACAGACAGCACAGCGTTGCAGGCATTGTTAGTGGGATAAGTATCAATTATCTTTGGAAAGGCACATGACTTTGGATTCTTAACCTGAGTTGGGAGTTACATGGGGTGGGAACAGACCCTGTGTTGGTTTAGTTATAAGAATTACCTTTCATGAGCCAATGCAGATAATGTTTCATGATATCTGGTGCACATGGAATCACTTACACAAGTACTATGGTGGTCCCATGATTCAGAGATGGTAATACCATGGTACGGAATGATTAGTTTATTCGTGCACTTTGGTATTTATATGGTACTACAGAGAATATCATATCATGGCACTAAAGCACTTTTTGACTGACTTTTCTAGTCTTATCCTGGAAGGATTTTTGAAAAATTATTATAAATTATAAAATCAATTTCTGACATTTTATAATATTTAGAGTATAACTTTAAAACTAGATTTACATTTTTCCTAATGATATTTCAAAAGTATTTTAAGTTTAATAATTTTAAACATTTTCTTTCCATCACTGTGAGGACCCTTTACCATGGTACCCCATCCAAAAACCATGGCTGTACCTGGCAGTGGCGCTTTTTTGTCATTATGGTTGCATGGAATGCAAAATGTGATGAGCATCGGCTGCAACCTGAGATAAGTACAAAGTCTTCTGATTGGGACAAACGCTGTTTTCGACAGTGGGTAAGAATTCACAATGAGTCAGACATACAACAACAATCATAACTTTAAAAGGACTTTTACAAAAGGCTTAACAAACAGCGATGAGCTGGCGTCATGTTCTACACCAGAAGGGAAAGAAGAGAAAGACATTGAGAGAAGAGGGGAGAGATGAAGTGAATGTGACACTGGCGGGGGGGGGAGTACCATATGCCTTTGAACAGCTCGGCACAGGTGTGAAAGCAAAATGTTCAAGACCACTAATTACAAAATATAAAAATGCTGAGATTTGTCTGAGTGGCATCATTTCTAAAGTAAACAACAAAGGGTCCCTTTTTGACCAAAACCATTTTTTATTTTTTTTTTACTTTTCTCAATGCTTTTCTCATTTTGGTTTTGCTATGCAAGTAAGTCCCCTTCTTCCATATTCTCAATTCTCTCCTCTCCTCCCCTTCCCTTTCTTCCATTATCCCTTCTTAAACGTTTAAACCTTGTCCAGTAGGGAGCGTTGGCAGTAGAGCAGGCGTCTCGGTGTGCCGTACCTGCGGAAGAAGAGAAGTGCTCCGAGCGTGAGGATCACGCAGACCAGCAACATAAGTGGCACCACGACGGCAGCTGCTCCTCCCCCACTGCTGGGTGCATCGTCAACCTCGATTATGATCACCTCCGTCTCCTCCTTTTTGCCCTCTTCCTCAGTCTTGTCTTCTTCATGTGTGCGGTCACGTTCACGTTCCCTTTCACGCTCTCGTTCCCTTTCACGCTCCCGTTCCCTTTCACGCTCACGATCACGGTCACTTCCTCCGCCACCGCCACTGGAGTCTTCATTAGGACAGCCCATCCAATCTTTAAGTGCAGACTTGGGGTATCCAGGCTCTACTTTTAATAACTGGTTGTTAAACTTCCAGTACTTATTGGCTTTGTAGAAGTAGGTATAACCTGTGAATTTAAGAGAGAAAAGGTCAGGACTATACAATAGTAGTGATCTTTGGCCCAAAGCCTACATCCTGACTTTTTCAAGTAATTAAGTTTTTTTGTTTTCTAGTATTAAACAGGACAGTGGAGAGAGGCATGGAAATATTTGGAAAAGAGGAAGGGATGGGAGTCAGGAAATGACAAAGGACACAACTTGTGTCCTGATAAATGTGTCCTGATAAATACTATATAAATCCAAAAAAGGTGTATATATATATATATATGCTGATTTGGTGCTCAAGAAGCATTTATTATTATTGTCAAAGTTTCCACAAAAATATTTAGCTGCACAACTGTTTTAAACCATGTTTTTTTCAGGATTCCTAAATGTATAGAACTAAATAAAAAAAACAGCATTTATTTGAAATAGAAATCTTATGTAACATTATCTGAGTGAACAGAAAACTTCTGATTGGCTGTGATTTTATTATATTATGCAGTGTTTTTGCTTTTTGTATGGACAGACAAATTACTTAGAACCATTAGAAACGTAAAGGTTAGCCACGTAGTAAGAGGTTACGAGGGTTTTATTTTCTTGGGTTTATGCAGAATTGTGTGTGCCTATGTCTGATTGACAGTATACTATACAGAATTGACAAAGAACAAAAAAGCAGATTATAAAAACAAACTAGAATGTACATTTCCAGAAGAAAATGTGAAGTGGTGCTTGCAGTGGCAAAACTCGCCGCTCGGTTGCTAGGGTGTTCTTGGAGTTTGCTATGATGATGCAAGGCAGTTGCTAGGGTGTTCTGGGTGGTTGCTATGGTGTTGCTATGCGGTTGCTAGGGTATTCTGGGTGGTTGCTAAGGTGTTTTGGGTGGTTGCTAGGCGGTTTCTAGGGTGTTCTGGGTGGTTGCTAGGGTGTTGCTAGTTTGTTGCTAGGTGGTTGCTAGGGTGTTTTGGGTGGTTGCTAGGGTGTTGCTAGGCGGTTGCTAGGGTGTTCTGGGTGGTTGCTAGGGTGTTGCTAGGCGGTTGCTAGGGTGTTCTGGGTGGTTGCTAGGGTGTTGCTAGGTGGTTGCTAGGGTGTTCTGAGTGGTTGCTAGGGTGTTGCTAGGTGGTTGCTAGGGTGTTCTGGGTGGTTGCTAGGGTGTTGCTAGGTGGTTGCTAGGGTGTTCTGGGTGGTTGCTAGGGTGTTGCTAGGTGGTTGCTAGGGTGTTCTGAGTGGTTGCTAGGGTGTTGCTAGGTGGTTGCTAGGGTGTTCTGAGTGGTTGCTAGGGTGTTGCTAGGCCGTTGCTATGGTGTTCGAGGGTGGTTGCTAGGGCGTTGCTAGGCAGTTGCTAGGGTATCCTGGGCGGTTGCTAGGCGGTTGCTAGGGTGTTCTGGGTGGTTGCTAGGCAGTTGCTAGGGTGTTTTGGGTGGTTGCTAGGCGGTTGCTAGGGCGTTGCTAGGCGGTTGCTAGGGTAATCTGGGTTGTTGCTAGGGCGTTGCTAGGCGGTTGCTAGGGTATCCTGGGTGGTTGCTAGGCGGTTGCTAGGGTGTTCTGGGTGGTTGCTAGGGCGTTGCTAGGCAGTTGCTAGGGTGTTCTGGGTGGTTGCTAGGGTGTTGCTAGAGTAATTTGGGTGGTTGCTATGGTGTTACTAGGTGGTTGGTAGTTGTCAAAGATGGTTACTGTTGAGTTTGTAGCATTTTATTGGCATGATTTAGCACTTAGCTAATCAATATTAGCATGTAGCTATTCACTGCTAGCATGTGTAGCATGTAGCAAGTCCTGTTTGCTAGCATGAGTCAAAAGACCCAACCCCCATCTCTATACGATGTTCTGATGCAGAGATGTAGGTCTTGCAAAATGGTTGCTAGGGTACTCTGTTTGGTTGCTAGGGAGTGGCTTGGCAGCTGCCAATCATGAAGCTCCAAAGTCAATGTGAATGTATAAACCAACCCCCATCTCTATACGATGTTCTGATGCAGAGATATTGGTTTTGCAAAATGGTTGCTAGGGTACTCTGTTTGGTTGCTAGGGAGTGGCTTGGCAGCTGCCAATCATGAAACTCCAAAGGCTGCTTGTCACTATGAAAGATATAAACCAACTCCCATGCCTCTGTGACATTCAGAATGGACGATATTCCTCTTTGGATTTTGGTTGCTAAGGTGCTCGACAATGGTTGCTAGGGCGTGGCTAGCAAGTGTTGAGGTGATTCATGATTGGCTGTTTGCTGGCCCGAGTCAAACGAGACCACCCTCATGTTTCTATGACAATTCAGTCCAGAGATATCCCTTCGATCTCTTTCAATGGAAGTCTATGGGAGTTGTTGCTAAGGTGCTCTAAATGGTTGCTAGGGCGTGGCTTGATAGCTTCACAATGATCCTGAGAGACTGATTGGTTGTCTGAGTAAAATGAGCCCGCCCCCTTGTCTCTATGACACTGTGATCCAGAGTTATGTTCAATATAAAAGCGGTTTCTATGGTGTAGGACGGCCCATTTCATGGGCCGTCCTACACCATAGTAAGTCAATGGGGAAACTTTGGGCAGCTCCTGCACCCCAGGGGTGCAACTTTTACCCCATTGTGTGGTATGTTCTTACAGAGTCTGTCAGCCTCTTCAAATGTGGCAAATTTCACGTTTCTGCGACATCCTCGTTCCGAGCTACGACTCGTCAAAGTTTTTCGCAATGTTAAGTCTATGGGATTTTTTTGGGCCGTTTTTCGCCCCTGGGGCGACCATCGTACCCCCGATCTCTTAGAAAAGTCA